AGATTTTGCCGACTGTTTTCCCTATCTAAGAATGAGGAAAACAATACCTCCATTAGCAGAAATTGACGTGCCACAACACGTGAGTCTAGAATTCGAGAAGAGTGTCTAACATGAGTAAAGTTTCATTTTTGTGAGACGGAATAAAAGTAATATGCAATCTGCCATTGCCTTGCCCTGGAGAGGAGGACGTTCAATTTACCTACTTTGTAAGATTGCTTTGCGCAGCCGTGCGGTTCGCAGTTTTCTTATGTTAGTCGTCCTCATTGCACAGATTGTTTAAGTTGGTGCTTTTTAGCCCGTGACACGCAATGAATTATTTAAATGGACCACTAGACAAGGTACGAATTTAAGCAATCTGATACATGTTTCTTAACCAGAATTTCACGTAGAACACGATTCACACTACGAAAATTACCAAAAATCAACTTCTAACGAAGATATTAACGTTTTTATTTCACATTGGTCACGAGGAATTTGAACTGCCCGCTCACAAGAAACTCAAAGCTCTGCGTGAGTCAAATCGCGCACTACAACGGTTTCAGCGAGCCTCTCAATCGAGCAATATACATTTCCCACCATGTGTTGTGCAAACCATGAGAAATTTGCTATAGCTGAGCCAAAGTGTCAAGATTGAGGTTGCCAGATTTTCATATCGCAGAGCCTGTCATGATAAACGTTTAGCGCGCGATGTGAATCACGTAGAGCATTGAGTTTTCATGAGCGGGTGGTTTGAATTCACGCATCAAGAATCATTAAATATCTTCGTAAGGAGTTGATTTCGGTAATTTTCGTTGTGCGTATCTTGTTTTACGTGAAATTTTGGATAAGAAACATGTTTCAGAATGCTGAAATTCGTACCTTGTCTAGTGGTCCATTGCCATGAGCTACTACATCCTAACTCCTCACCTCACTTAAACCACAACAAAGCATCGCGGCAAATTTTTTTCTCAACGCGAAAAGTTATTATGAAATATCTCACGGAAAAAAGTATGATTTCAACTATATTCTTGGTTAATTGCGAAGACAGCAGTGTAGTCACGCCAGCCCTATGGTCGAGTCAGCCAGATGTGTGGTTGAATCAACCATACCTTCAGCTGGTGTACAACCACACCTCTGGCTGGCTCCAAAATCAGCCAGGAATGTAGTTGAAATCACCACATTTTTTGATGTTAGTTTTTAGATCCGTCATTTTTAGATCCGTGATGTTAGAGGCTTCTAACAATGCCAGCCATCCCAACCAGCCAATAAAACTGCACGAAATGAGTCCATTACGAAATAAGTCTCTAGTATTCAACTATTTTAACACTTAGGATACAATTTTGGCTATTCCCTAAGAAAGAAACGAGGCATGTCTCGTGACACAGAGCTTCGTTTGCCTGCACATCGGCGGGTAGGCAAAATCGCTCACCCCTCGCATTTAACTGGTCGCATTCTCAGAAAAGTATAATCGCAGTGCATGCTCGCTGAACGAGAGGGCTTGGGTCAAGCTGGACCATTCAAAAGAGAATCGTCCGATTCAGTCATCTTATTTTACCCTGGACTCTCGGAAAGAGGTAGATTATAAAAACACAAACAAAATTCTTGTGATCAAGTCTTTTTCATTCCAAGCCGAGTCTGCTCTGACAATCAATTTCAATTATAATTGGATCGCGGTTATAGGACATTTTGTCAACGATTTTTTGTCCGCGCACCTGTTTTTTCCAGTAATTTACGTCCACGCGTTTTCTCGGCACGGGAGTTTTGGGAGTTTGCGAGGAAAGATCTGTACTTTTAAAGGGTGCCTGTCATTCTTAATACGTTCAATTTCGTATAATACTGTGCAACACCTCTGTTGTGAAATAGTTGCTTCAAGCGCCGCCGCACGGCGGGCGGGCGGCCAGCGCGAAACGCGCATTGGCGCCTACAAACCTAAGTGGATACTTCAAGCATTGTGCAATGCGTGAAGTATCCACTTAGGTTTGTAGGCGCCAGTGCGCCTCTCGCGCTGGCAGCACGCCGCTCCGCTCTGTTAGGCTTTAATATTTATACTCGCATAGGCAGCGTTTTTTAACTCATGATTTTGAAATGTTTGCACACTCTGCATTGATTATTCTCATTTAAATTGGTGGGAAAAAAATATGTATCAACTTATCAAAGGAGAATAATAATATAATGTGCGGACAAAAAATCGTCGACAAATGTCCTGAAACCTTGGATCGCGGACTGGAGAGAGTGGAAATTCCTGGTTTTCAAGCACCAATTCCTCCACAGATTTCCTGATTTTCCCAGATATTTTTCGTTTACTCATGACTCCCTGAAATCTCTGGGTTTTTAAGGTCCCAAGACCATGTTTTGAATTCAACTCGACAAAAATCGTCATGCTAAAAAAATATTGCCCGAATGGACTTAGGTCCCTTCTTCTAAGGATGGTCACATAGTGATGGACAAAATGCAAAACCACTCATCTCTGTCGCTTGTTTATTCTCCAGGGTGTCCACAAGTCCGAAATTTCCGGAAAGTCCAGAGACAGCGCTGATTTTTATAAGAGCGGCCCGGAAGCACTGAAAAAGTGCGGGGCTTCCGCATGGAGGTCCGGCATTGTTTTACTTTTTTTGTCATCTTTGTTGCTATTTCAGCGAGAAATTCAATTTTTGGAATTTTTCGAATTTCGTCAATTGGGGGTACTGAAAAAGTACTGAATTTTTCTGTTAAGAGGTACTGAATTTTATGGAAATCTACTGAAAGTTGTAGTCGACACCCTATTCTCGCTAAATTAAAATATGAGCGGAAATTCTGAAACATCGCAATGAAGATACATGGTTTTTTACTTTGGCCTCTACATATCATTTTAATCTAGGGACATGTTATAAAGAGAGGTTATTAACAATCGGCGGCAACAAAGGTTAAAAGTGGATGCTCGAAAGCTTTTACATAAACTATTTGCGGCGAGATAAGACCCTTTTCTTATGACGTCCGCGGCTCAGCAACCTAGCGACCGCTTGCAATATTGCAGCATTTTTCGGTTCCTACCTCGAAGGGTCATTTCGGCAGCTTTCCGGGTCGTCGGAATATTAATTGTGAAGAGGGTCAGAAATGACAACCGGGGAGATTTCGTGTCAACCGTTCACCAGATAACGCGCCGCTGACGTCCGAAGCACATCACCCGACTCGAAGTATAATGACCGGCTATTGATAAGCATTTAAATTACATACAGCCATGCTAGTAGTTGCGAGGCATGGATAATCGATTATCCATTTTTCCCAATTTGAAGCTGTGGTAAAAAATCGATTGCCAAGGTATTCATCGCGACCATCCCGTTTATCGATCTTTTTCCATAGATTTAAATGGTAGATCGATCGATGTATCGCAAAGCACGCCACGCCTCTACCTGCTGGAAATGGTCGGATTAGAGAGGGGACGAATAGCCTAGAACAGTGGCGAGGCGTGAATGATCGATTATCGATATTTTCCCATTTGAAGCTGTGGTACAGAATCGATTATTAAGGTGTAAAATCGAAAAACCCTGCAAATCGATTCTTTTCCATTGGTTTAAATGACGGAGCAATCGATGTATCGCAAAGCACGCCACGCCGCTGAACTAGAATGAACTTGAAGACAAAGATTGTGTATTTTTAAGACCCCACGCTACTTGTTCTCATCGCCACATAACGTCGTTCTTCTAACGTGAGGGCGTATCTCGATTTCGACATGAGCCCTAAAAAGCATGGAGTTATATGAAGAACAGGGCTCACGTGGAAATCGAGATACGCCCTTACGTCAGAGGAGCGACGATAAGTCGTGTTACCGAAGTTTACGCCGGGGACGAGCCGAGTCCCTCGAAACAGCAGGACTTGTCTCGGAACGGGTCCCGGAGCGCCGCAAAATGTGGAAACCCTAGAAAGCTTACACCTTCGCCGAAACCTAAGAAAGAAGTTTGGGAACAGTCTCATTGGTGCCCTCGTAAAATTTCTGTCAAGAATCACTTCTTGAAAATAACGTGACGAAAAAAACATCAAAATTCGCACTGAAAAAAAAACACATTGGATGTAGAGTCCAATCTCTTGAAAACATTGACAAGAAAAATTACTCTTGATTCAATCAGAATCTAGCTTAAATCAAGAACCAAGCCTCTTAATTTAAGCGGATTTCGTTTTGATTCGAGCAAACACCGAAAAAAAAAGGAAGTTAAATTAACATTCTGAATGTAAAAAAAGTGTGCAAGAACTTATAAATGCTGAATTACCCGCCACAGCACTTAATTTTACATCTTGGCATTGCTGAAGTAACTGCTGTGGCAGGTATTTTAGCATTTTGTAAGTTCTCGCACACTTTTTTTACATCCAGAATGTTAAATTAACTTCAATTTTTTTTTCGGTGAAAATCCGATTGAATCAAGAGTATTTCTATTTGTCAATATTTTCAAGAGACTGGACTCTAGATCCAATGTGTTTTTTTTCCAGTGCGTGGTGTTAGTCAAAAGTTGTATTGGCGCGTATACGTAGTATACCGCCTTTGCGATCGTTTCGACCCCCCCCCTCGATACAATAACCGAGTCCCCTAGTTCCTTACCGAAAAGTGACTACCGCGAACTTCTGAGATTTTCCAAAGCGTGTAAAAAGTTTACTAATCCGTCAATAATAATGATTAAAATTTGTTTCTCATTCTGGGGCTCGCTAGTTTATGTGTAATGAATACCAAGAGTCTACGTTTCTTGGTTTTTTTNTTAGTCAAAAATTGTTTGTTTAGCTCATCCTATTATGATGCTCTATGGTGCGTCGTAGATCTTTAAGAGCTTTAAGGGTTTTCGAGCTTTTTTGTTTCATATTTTAAGAATATAAGCTTTCAAAGTTTCAAGATTATGTCCGACTTCTCCCACTGACACGGACCAGTGTGCTCTGTTCAAAAGGGTGATATCGTATATCTCACAATTTAAAACGACTAAATATTTAAATGTTCGCTCTCAACTTCCATCAAAGTTCATTGATGTATCGATACTGATCAAAGCTCGTTCTTGTTTCAGGTAACTTCAAGGCCGGCCCTGAGCCCGGGACGATCCTGAAAAAGTTGTGCCCCAAGGAACAACTTTGCTTCCAGGTCCTCATGAAAGATGTTCTCAGACCTTACGTTCCTGAATATAAAGGTCACATCACTTGCGATGATGGTGATTGTATCCTTTTGAACAGAGACCATTTCAATTTCTTTATTTTTGTACCGCCAACCTTTTCTTTTATTTTCCACCTGTGCATATCAGACTTTAAGACCTCCAGTTGTTAAGTTTATTCGTTTAAATCAAAAGTTTGATTCTGGCTGTCGTTTATAAAAATGCAGTTTTTAAACGAGGTATCAGCCATCAAATTTTTACAAATCATATATGAAAAACGAATTTTCACACAAACTTGTAGGTAGTTTTCTTTCAATTTCTCAGATTTTTTTTCTCATTTGAATCTGAATAGTCCTAAAAATTCCAAAGAAATATCGATGGCCAAAGTGCGGAATCACGTAGCTGCCGTGTCAGATTTCCTGCAGTATACTTTTCTTTCTTCTTCAGAAAACTAGTCAACATAATTTTTTGAAAATTTCTTTTATCTGATTTGTTTCCTCTCTTAGTAGGAGAGTCTGTATTAATTTCCAGCTTTGAAGTCGGCTTGTTTCTCTTCGGAAAAACAAAATAGGAGCGGACATGCTGAAATATCGCTCGTGGTTTTGCACTTTGGCCATTGATATACTCTTAACTTTCCTCAAAAATAAACTTTTTATCTGGGGTAATGTGGCAACACTCTGATGTCCATACGGCGCTCAGTGGATCGAGTCAATTGGACGTATTTATGCAAAATAGAACTATGTGCAAGTGAAAAGATGGAGTGTGCTCGTTAGTGCTCGGGCCATAAGAATGAATGGGACTTTAAAAGCGCCAGTGACGTCAGCGGTGAGGACCGGGTACAAGGAGGCCCGACACGAGCGACGACGACTAGTCGTCAGTCTTTAAACTCATGAGCCCCATCTACAACGCTCTTGTCACATGCCCACAGCTCACGAGTTAGCGTTCAGTTCCTTTTGATTTAATGTCAAATCCCGCTGTTCCATTTTCTCAAAAGGGACTATATCCACTGACCACATTGTTTACACAGCTTCTACGAGCACACCCCATCTTTCCACCTCCATATAGTTCTTTTTAGCATAAATAGTCTAATTTGAGAGGTCGGACATGCAAATTTTGATGTTTATTTTGTCTTATTATACTTTCCAAGGGGTGCTTTCGAAAGGAAATTTTACGAGAAAATCAATGAAACCACTTTTAGAACCTCAAAAGTTTATAAAAACGGAGTTATAGGCTTTTAAAGTTTCCAAATTTTGTCCGACCTCTCCTTTTAACTCGATCCACCGTGCGGCGTTCCCCCTTGAGCAAGGCTTTGAAATGAAAGAATTAATGCAAGCGCCCTATCATCTACTCGTCAGAAACCAGTTTGATATAGTAATAAAGATTATATCGTAATATTCAATGAAAATCCGCGAAATTTTTCCTTAACGCTGTCCTCTACGTTTGGCGTTTCCTCAGCAGTGTATCTCCAACTACAAGACTTACTAGGCGATTTTACCTCTCCGTGTGTCATGGACTGCAAGATAGGTGTCCGCACCTACCTCGAGGAGGAATTGGCCAAAGCCAAAGAAAAACCTAAATTAAGGAAAGTAAGTATATTTCACCGTCTTTATTAGTTTTTTCTAGAATTTAATGCCTCAAAGGGAGTGACTGTTTGCGAGTAGCAAATTTGGAAATGTAGTAACATCCACCTGTTGCCATTAGAGAGAATACCTATTTTAAAGGTATAAAATGAATTAATAATTCATGATCCTTTTCCAACAGGGTAAAAGGAAGGTACGTAATATACGCAGGAAGTATAAATAAATAGGCCTGTCAACTTCGAATAGTATTATCAAAATTAATGCTTTTGAGATATAGGAAACGACTTTTTCGGGAATCTTTTCCTCGACATTACAATAAAATATTCAATCGCTTAATGTTATCAGATGATATCGAACTAACTCGATCGTTTTAACTTAAGAGTAAAAAATCAAAAAGAAAAAAAATTACTCTTTGTTCAGGAAAGAAATATCAGGGAAGTTTTCAAGAAATGACGTGATTAAAAATAATTAAAAATGATGTGAATAGGAATCAATTATGAAAGGAGGTCTGCAGAGTTGCAAACCGAAATGCATGTTCGCGCAGTTTCACTGTCGACATACATGTAGGTAATTTTGTTTACCTCTCGTCATCAATTTTTCTTTAAGAACTTTGTATGATGAATTTGTCGATATTTTGAATAATCTGAACAGAATGATGCATTTTAATGATTGGATGAAGCATTGGTTTCAAAAATTATTTCCGATTTTTGAGGTTAAGCAAGTCCGCATTGGATAACCTCTCATACGAAATATTTGTGTTTCAGGACATGTATGAAAAAATGATTCAAATTGACCCCAATGCTCCCACAGAGGAAGAGCATCGACTGAAAGGTGTCACAAAGCCTAGGTAAGTTTTCATTTTGTCGTATGGGAGTCTCTAATCTTACTCTTCACTATAAAATCATTAGAGTAACGCCAGTGGCGTGGCGTGCTTTGCGATGTATCGATTGATCTGTCATTTACACCTATGGAAAAGGATCGATTAACAGGGTGTTCGTAACAAACTTTTTAATAATCGATTCTTTACCACGGTTTCAAATGCGGAAATATCGATAATCGATCATTCACGCCCAGGGCCGGATTTACGTACTTGCCGCCCATGGGCCGCCTTTATTTTTCCGCCCCCTCTCATTCGTTTTGAAACATTAATAGATCGTATTCGACAGTGGTTCGATGTATCGCTTGGCTCAAAACAATAGAACACAACCTCAAACAAAAATTTTAGGATTTAATTCGGAAAAGCTGAAAATGATAAAATTCCTAACAATTTCACTTTTCACTGCCATTTGGTACTCGAGAGAATAACAATTCGATCACATAAGACCCGTTACCTCAGATTTCTAAGTTAACTTTTGAGGCTGTGGTTACATATTGAACCAATCTATATCAATATAATCTCACTTCTATGATCTGTCGATAACGATCTGAAAACCATCAAGTCAACGGTGGAGGAGGGGTGTATGAAACGCGCTTACTTATGTTTGCCAAATTTTTTGTGAAAGCCCTGTCAACACTTACAAAAGTTCAGTTCCGTAAATCCATCTCTGTTTGAACAAGGCCTTCAATTTATAAAAACGAACAAAAAAATTATGAAAGAACAAACATAAACGTGGTTAATAATTTGAACTTCCGTCGCTGCCCGACCGCACTGTTTTGGCGCAATGCGTGAAGTATTCGTGTAGTCTAGTAGGCGCTATGCGTTTCAGGCCGACTGCTGCTGACCGCAGTGTGTTTGACGCAATGCGTGAAGTATTCATGCAGTCTTGTAGGCGCTATGCGTTTCATGCCGACCGCCACACCGCTCCGTTCCAGGTCAAATTGCGTGTTTGGTTTCTCTCTTAACTCGACTAATTAAAGGTGTTGTCTCTTATATCACCGAAAGACGACGAAATTAGAAATTACTATACTTTCACTCTCAAGAAATGAGAGATTTTGTCGCCTTTTCTCGTTTGTAAATTATTTTCTGAATCCGATTTTTCTCTCTCTTTTTTTGATACATACATTCAAAAAGATTGCAAGATTTGGCCATCCCCTTAATCCGGCCCTGTTCACGCCACCCCACTGAGTGACGCGTCACACAGAACTCCTAAGGCGCGAAGCTCTTCAGAAGGTTGGATTGCTAAGCGATGAGGAAACGTAACCCTCTAGTCCCCAAGTAGCATTTTTCAACGGAAAAATTGCGATATTCTGAAATTAAGTTGCGATTTTTGTTTTACAATACTGCTATAAATCGCCGTCGATAAAATCGCAATTTTATTGCAAATTTACGCGATGAAATCGCAATTTTTTATCCGATGTTATTGCAATAAATCGACGACAGTAAAATTGCGATCCATTGTCCAATCAAATCGCAAATTATCACGATCACTACTACTTGAGTTATTATTTCATGGGATTACTTCCAACCACCTTTCTTTGTATTTTGTGTTCGTAATATTTCAATTGAGTAGCTGAGAAGGCTGATAGAGAGGCATACGCCGACAGATTCATCGGTGAGATCTAAGATTCTGTGCGCAAGACCCTTCAAAAATATTACGGCACTTAAAACAGGAACAGAGATAAGGCGTGAAGCATACTTCAGTTTTATTGATCTCGTGAAAGTCGAAAACTCACGTTTAATCTGTCGTCTAGGAACCTTGGATATGCGCGTTTCAAGGAAACCACGGACGTTAGATCACGACCGCGAAGGAAAGGGTTAAAAACCGGACTTTAGCGGTCTTCCTTTTTTCCGCGATCGTGTAATTTTTTCAAGCAGTTTGACAAAGTAGAAAAATCCCCCCCCCCCCAAAGAAAAGGAGGAAAAAATCAATAATTCTAAAATCTGCTATCTCTTTTTCGTATTTTACCGCTCGCCCAAGTGTCACCAAACCGAAGTTTTAAAATAAAGTTTCAATTCAACGCGATACAATCGCAGTTTTTACTGTCTCGTTTTATGAGAAAATTGCAATATGTTTATTGTATTTGGTCACTCAATGCGGATTTTGAACGATCAATAACATAAATTGCGTGTATCAAAAAGATATGAAGTTTACAATGCAGAGAAAACTTGCAACTAAGTTCAGTTTAATTGTAATAAACACACTAGATCACACGCCGCTTGCGATATCCGGGAACAACTCGTGTTTGCCTTCACTTGATAAGATAGGCAAAAGCGGGTACTCAGGAGTTGATATGGTTGTATTTCGCTTATCGTAGTGTAGAGTCGGAAGCGGTATTGGGCCTGTTTTTTCTCACGATCAGATCATACAATCAACTCGTGAGCCGTATCTTTAGTGGAAGCCCTGCTATGAAAAAAAAATTATCTTCCTCAATTTTGCGTGAAATTAGTGACGATAGTTTGAAAAAGTAAAAAAATAAAGTATGTGGAAATCACCAGCTCGTCTACCGCTAATGATTTCCGGAAACTCCCAATGTTTGCCTTCAATTGATAAGATAGGCAAAAGCGGGTACTCAGGAGTTTCAATAGTTGTATTCGCTTATCGTGGTGTAGAGTCGGAAGCGGTATTGCACCTGTTTTTTCTCACGATCAGAACCAGATCATACAATCAATTCATTGACCGTATCTTTAGTGGAAGCGCCGCTATAAAAAAAATTATCTTCCTCAATTTCGTGTGAAATTAGTGACGATAGTATGAAAATGTAAAAAATAAACTATGTGCAAATCACCAGGTCGTCTACCGCTAATGATTTCCGGGAACTCCCAATGTTTGCCTTCAATTGATAAGATAGGCAAAAGCTGGTACTCAGGAGTTGATATAGTTGTATTTCGCTCATCGTTGTGTAGAGTCGGAAGCGGTATTGCGCCTGTTTTTTCTCACGATCAGATCTTACAATCTACTCGTTGACCGTATCTTTGGTGGAATCACTGCTAGGTATGAGAAAAAACTGATATTCCCCAATTTTGCTTCAAACTATTGGCTGATAGTTTTGTTTAAAAAAGTAAAGTAGGTAAAAATTGAGAAACTCTTCGGTGAAGAGGCGTGTGAGGCTTTCAGTGTTGCCAAGATTGTTTAACGTAGTTCTTTAATTAAATGCAGTCCATCCGGAAGCTTTGCCAAGAATTTTCCCCTGGATCTACCCCTAATTTTCCCTCACCATCGTGTGACAGCAAGTCTACTGCGAATGGATCTCATTGGATGCAAATGCTACGAAAAAATGCTCAATCTTAGCAACATTGCAAGCCTCATACGCCTTTTTTCCTACGAGGTCATCAATTCGAATTAGAGGTGCTCCCTCAATTCGTTGTGAGGCAACATACTGTCCCACGATGGAGTTGTAAATATTTTACCGTGTCATTGCAATTTATTGCAATCCCTGATACTTAAGTGCGGCTTCAGCCCCCAAAGCTTCTTCTTAAATCCGGTACCGGAGGTCGGTAGCACCTCTCCCAAGCTGGAAACACTGGTTTTTTCTCCATTTGTGCCCATTAAAAATGATTGAATTTAGACAAGGCAGCCTACCATTCAAACCCGTGTAAAATATCCTTTTTTAATCTCAGAACCTGGCATCCTTGCATAATTGCCAGATTGTGCTGAAGATTTAGAAAAATATCAAGCTTTTCACTCACAAACTGGTAACTTGACAGGGTTGACTATGCTGCTGTACGAAAGAAAAACGCCGTAATAACATTCAGACGTTTCCAAATTGCTGCAGATAAAAAAGTTGCCTCTCGGCCGTAAGAAAACCCCCAAAAACTGAATTTGCTAGAGAATATTATGTGTATTTTTCTCAGAAGTTTTCTTCAAATTCAAATTCAAAATTCAAATTTAGTTTATTGCTATACATTAGCCATGGTAAGTTAGGCTAGGTACAGGTCACAATGGGTACAATGAAGATTAACTGATCAGTTTGTTAACAGACTAGTTAGGTTATCGCCAATTTTCTTAAGTTTTATCAAATTATCTTAGGTATTAACAATTATCTCAAAGTTCCTAGAGTTTCATTCTCAATTATTTAATCCAATTAGTATGACTGAGAATCCTACAGAAAATTATTCTTAGCTTTCCTAAAAATTAGAAATTTTAAGAAGAAATTTGGCAGGATCGTGATGTTTCTACGCGGCACGATATTACCAAAGCGCGCGAAATTCAAAATTACGCCTGACCGTAAAGACAGCGTCGCCACCCCCCTCCCGCCATCCCATCACCTTTTCGGCCCTTCACGGCGGAGAAGTCCAGACCGCAATTCACAGACCTTTTCACTGAATTTTGGGAAATGTATCGTGTTGATCCGTCTAATCAAAAGTTTTTCTGCCTCTCCAGGTATATGGTGTGGCGAGAAACAATTTCCTCAACTGCCACCTTAGGTTTTCGGATAGAAGGTATCAAGAAAAGTGACGGGAAGTCTAGTAAAGACTTCAAGACAACCAAGTCCAAAGAGCAGATCATTGAAGCGTTTCAAGATTTCACTGCAGGATTTCCTCATGCTGTTGTAAGTATAAAGTAACTAATGTCGACTTATTACGTTAGCTTAACCAAAGCCCCCTTTTCATCAAAAAATCAGCATTTTTCTTTGAAATTTTTACTAATCATATTGAAAAAGTGAGAAAGGAAAAAAGGCAGGAAGAGTCAGCCTCATTCATATCGACGACCAAAGTGCGAAACCTCATATCTCCGTTTGCATCGTCGAGGACTTCCTGCCATTCCTTATTTTTTCTTTGAAATTCTGTTGGAATTCTCTGCTCGTTTAGTTGACTTGTCTCTCTTCGAAAAACTAAAGCAGGAGCAGAGATTTTAAAGCATCGCAATGGAGATACGTGGTTTTACACTTTACCTAGGTGCCGATATTATACTTCCGCCTATGGTTTGCAAGCTCATACCATACTCCCTTCAGCATCCTCCCTCCCCCCTCCTTCCCTCAGAGCGTAATATGATATATGGGTGGCTCCTAGCTTATCAAATAATCACTATGTTTTCTCTCTTTTCAGTATTTATTGAAAAAAAACACGAAGTAGTCCATAATACTTCTTTTTTTAAGAAAATTACTGAAGATATTGAATTTAATTAACTCCGACCACAGGGTAGGGGCAAATATGCTTGCCAATCTATGCGGTGTTTACAATCCGAATAAGAAGCAATTACTCCCAAAAGTTTGTGTCAGTGAATTCTTCGGATGAACTCTAAAAATATGCAAAGTAGAAGATTCTTTTGGTTGGTTTTTTTTTGTATCAACTACGGTGGATTTCAGAAAGTCGACGAAGAACAAAATAAGTTATCAATAAAATTGCGTTCAGTTCTAAAACGTTCTCTGTCTTAATTTTTTTCCTGGAAGAATGTCAACCTTATCATTCAAAGTTTGAAAGTTTACTAAGAGACAGGGGCGGACTGGCAGTCGAAAAGTGAGGAGGCGACTTACATTAGGGGGCCCCATCTGTCGTTCAGGGGCCCCTCTAATGGGAGTCTGGGGCCCTCCCCCGGAAAATTTTCATCATGTTACATTTTTTAAACGCATTTTAAACTCATTTTTTTGGAGTCCAATTCAAGAGTGTCTGAACTACAAAATAACCCATTATCAGAATTCTTCGGGGGCCCTTTTATCACGTCTGGGGCCCCGGGAGCCCACTAGATTTCCCTGTATATTGTGCATTATAAGGTTTAGGCGACCTTTTATGGTTCTTAGAGACAAATTTTCAAGGATTTTGGGGTATAAAGTGACTGAAAAGGATTGGAAAATTACAACATTACGGGGGGAAAACGCTGACTCGAAAAAGAAATCGCCGCGGAGGTCCCTTCGGGGCCCTCAGGGCGTATTGTTAGGAGGCGATCGCCTCCCCGCCCCCATGGCCAGTCCGCCCCTGCTAAGAGATAAAAAGCTGAAGGTTGCATACGATTCGAAAATCAATATGATTTATTGAGGATGATAGTTTTTCAACATCACTAATGAGAAAGCGCTTTTTATTTATTTCACTGTTATCAAGATAGGCACCTACTTTGTAGAGTCAAGCAGGTGCTCTATCGTACCTATTTTACCCATTACTCATGTATGTTTTTATCTTTTTCTTGCAGCCTAAATACATTCAAAGGCTGAAGGCTATTAGAGCCACTTTAGAAGTCTCAAATTTTTTTACAACTCACGAGGTAAGATATAGGTACTCAAACAGATGAGACTTTTTTTATGGATGATTTTTATTAAAATTCAGTAGTGAAAGTAAACTAATAGGATAATTTTTTTTACATTTCTAATGATGTTAATTTTTCCAAAAGAAAAAAAACAAAAATACAATTCTCAAAAACCAAACAGCTCTCAGAAACATGTGGAAAAATGTGATTAGATTTCAATGAATACCGAAACTTTGAGAACAATAAAATCGGAAGTTTAACATCTTGGTCCTGGCCACATATAGATAAACTAGCAACCAACCCGTGCTTCGCACGGTGATAAACCGTCATTAATGAAATTACACCATGTTATAACAATAACTTTTGTATTAATATATTTTACTATACCTATTATGCCCATATTTATATTTTTTAATATAATTATTCAGAAGCTACAAAATATTTTTACATATGGGGGCTGTTGTACCCATCAGCAAAAACAAAAAACATGTTTGCGAGTATCAATTTTGTAAATATGGTAGTAATTTATAGACCCAGCAGTCTTGAAATTAAAAAATAAATAACTGCTGTAAGAAGATGTATTTATTAATTTTTGATAATTTTATCGATAGTGATTATCCGAAAAATAATTTCGGACTTTTAAATGTAAAGTGCTAGTATTGTGATGCCTTGCATTTCAAAAAAGAGGAGGTGAACGGCCATTTTAACAGATGTTGTNTCAGTTTGAACTTTCTTTTCGCCATAAGGATCCACGTAATTTTGTAACTTCAAACACGTAGGTATTTCTCGAAACATGGCCGGATTCGCCTACTTACCGTCCATGGGCCGCCTGTATTTTGCCGCCCTCTTCTCATTCATTTTGAAACATCAATAAAAACTATCAAGTGAACGTGCCGGAGGGAGAAGGGTGCATAAGACGCGTTCACTTGTGTTGGACGCATTTTTTGCCCCGTCAACACTACTAGCAAAAGTTCACGGAACCTCGCGCGAAAGTTCAGTTCCGTAAATCTATCTCTGTGGGGACAAGGCCTTTCATTTGTAAGAAATGAACTAAAAAATTAAGAAAGAACAAACATAAATGTGGTTTAATAATGTTAACTTCCGCCGCCGTGCCGCGCTGACCACACTATTTGGCGCAATGCGTGAAGTATTCATGCAGGCTTGTAGGCACTGTGCGTTTCACGCCGCGCCGACCGCTGTTGACCGTGCTGTGTTTGACGCAATGCGTGAAGTATTCATGCAGTCTCGTAGGCGCTAATATGTGTCACATGCAGACCGCCACGTCGAGGGCTTCTCCTTTTCATCTCAAGTCCTCGTCATCATTTCTCTTTGCGCCGCGCCGCTCGCTCCAGGCCAAATTACGTGTTTGGTTTCTCTCTTATCTTAAGTCAACTAATTAAAGGTGCGCAGTCTTTTGTATCACCGAAATACGACAACATTATTAGAAATTAATGTACTCTCAGGAAATGAGAGATTTTGTCACCTTTTCTTGTTTGTAATTTTTTTCTGAATCCGATTTTTTTGTACCTGCATTTAACAAAATTGCAAAATTTGCCGCCCCCTAATTTTGCCGCCATGGGCCGCGGCCCATGTGGCCACCCCCTTAATCCGGCCCTGTCTCGAAATAGCAAAAACTGCTCTTATGCGCCTTGTCATCTTCTAAGCACCTCAAATGTCATTCAAATACTTAGGAATATTTATAGGAAAAGAAAGCTTGCAATTACTTGCTTTAATCTAGCCTGGTTTATACATTTCTAATCATTCTAATCCTCTTTTTTCCTCCCCAGGTGATAGGAAGCTCTTTACTTTTTGTACACGATGAGCACAATGCAAATGTCTGGCTGATCGACTTCGCCAAGACGATCATCTTGCCTCATGAAACCAAGATTGACCATGCCTCCAAGTGGGTTGTCGGAAATCACGAAGACGGCTATCTAATAGGAATCAATAATCTCATCGATATCTTCTCCGAGATGATGCAAATAGAGCCGCCGCAAACAACACTTGTAGTCACTGCGCCTCAAGATGTAACATAGCATTACAACTACTCATAGACATCGAGAGATCCGAGGTTACTATCGCTACCCTAAAGCAATGCTACGTTGCTCCCTAGTGAGCTGGAAATCCTAGTCCCTAGAAATTTGTGCAAGCAAATATTGAATTGTCTTAATTCCCCCCCCCCTCCAAATGGAGGAGCTTTAACTCCGGCATATGCTCACGTTTGCCATGAAATTAACATTTTGTTGTCTGGACAGCCAGAACAGCTCATATTCCAAGTAGCGGCAACTGTTAAAAACACTTTTAAGAAATTCATTGATACATTAATTTTCAGACAACTCAAAAAAATCTGATAAAATCAAGTTTGAGGAAATTATTTTTGGGTATTTTTCGCCGATAGGTAAAATTTGAGCATAAAAAGTGTTGAAAAACTGCTATAAGATTTACTGCTAAAGATTTAACACCATAAAAAATTTGAATGAAGTATGAAAAGATTCTGAGAAAGTAATAATTTTTATATAGACTTTTTCAGGTAATTTTTTCAGACATTTATTTCACATAAAAAATTAAGTACCCAAGAGGGTTTCCTGGAACATAATTTTAACAACTTTTTTAAGAGTTTTTGAAAAGTGATCTTAAATGATCATCGCTACTGAGGATGGTAATTACACGTATCCACCACAATACGAGTATTTGTACCTTACAGACATCTCAAGTTTATAATTTGTAAAAGTGATTTCCAAAGTCATTAAGGTCATCATGAGAGTAAGAGTGAGAGACCCAAAAGAAACATATGTAGTACAAAAACATGTTTTGAGCCTTCGACGTCTATCCCTGCTAGTAGGTATGGTACCCAAGTAGTCAACAGTCCACTTAAATGATAACCTTTAATATTCAGCTTACTCAATTCATTGGTCTGAAATTTGGGCTTGCTACATTCACTCAAATTCTAATCATCTCTACAAATACCAATACAGGTTTCAAAGTTTGACGAGTGATGTGACGACTGAATCACATGACAACTTTCGATGAATAAATCGAGGGCCTCCTTGTCCAATTTAAAATTGTAAATATAAGTGTAAAAAGTTATTTCTTGAATTTCTCTCCCGTACCCCTTTCTCTTTTGCACTTATTTGATCTGCTTTAAGATTATGTTCAGAGATGTAGGTATCTTGTAAGACGTGGTTACTAAAAGCTGAAAACTTTGTTGAGTCGCATTCTTTTTCATCCCATCATTTTGACAATCCATCCCATCTGATGTGAGTATTTTAGCTCTTAGTGACATGACAAGCACATTATTAATGACAATCCTTAATGTGAGGAGATGTAGAGGAGCCCTTGTCAGTTCATGCAACTTTCCTCCAGACTTTTAGGAATAAATTTCATTTTTTCGTTTTCTGATGTGACTTGACAAAAGTCTTCAGTAAATCTGTGTAAGATAGAAAAAGAAAGGAAGTACAACCCACCCACATTCTGTCGAAACTCCTACTTAGATAATTCAATGAGATAAATTTTCTTTCCAACCCCTAATTTATGTTAGATCTAAGTACTAACTTCAAAAAAAGAAAACAAAATTGAAAAATTATTTGAGTTACGAGAGAGAGGTATTGCGAGAACAATTGTGCCGATAATCTTATAGTCCTTTTTAGTTTTAAGAATACGGAAAAAGAAGCTTTGAGATGAGGCCTTAATTTGGACGCACTTCTGTGATTATAATGTGAAACATGATGTTAGTTAAGTGGTTCTACTTACTTACTCCCCTTGAGACTTACCTATATTATTTGAAGTGCCCTCAAAAAAACACTATGCTACGGATAATATTCTTGTTGACTTAAGCATATCTGTTATGAGCTTCCAGATTCGATTAAAAAATTGGAGCATTTTCGCCCACTACTTAGGATTTATTACCGTGCTTTTAGTCTTTCAAGTTCTCCTAACAACAATTTGCACCTGATGTGTTGGAAGGTACAAGAAATAAATGTGGGTTAGTTTAAAAAGTTTAAAATTTTTCAGAAGTGCATTTTTCTATACCTACTTGTGCCTAACATTTCCTGGCTGTGAAAATGATTTGATTAAGTAATCTCAAAACATATCACAAATAATTTTGTTTCTCTTTTCTGTATTATCAACTTACTGTCAGTAAGGAAAAAACCTCCTTGAACACAATGTACTCGACAAATATTCGTTTCCAAAATTGTCCTAAATAATCAGACATGCACAGTATTTTTAATGCAACTAGACATCCTGAATTCAATTTTTTTGTGTAAAAATTTTCTTCCTTCGAAGGTTTGGAGTATAAAACAAAATCATTTCAGAGGCGGAACATTGAAATTTCTAGACTCAATTTATACTTTTAAACATTTTTGCGAGGGATCGCAGTTCATTTTATCATCTTGGGATGAAAATGGACCCTTTTATTTAGCAGAAAAAAATGTGAGTATCTCCTAAACCACTGGTCGTACGGCCAAATGGACGAAATTTTCCAGCTCTCTTGTGGCTCTGGATCTGGATCATTAAAGTTGCAAAATTAAAACTGAATTTACAGTAAGAACTTCTTTTCCTTCCTCTCCTCGTCAATATTTTTGTCTTATTTAATAGCATTTACTTAAATACGACTCCGTATGATCTCAGACCAAGGATTTATTTATTTCTATCTCTCTCGCTTAAAAGAGAGGGAAAAAACATTCCAAAATTTGCAATAAAGTTTTACTGATTCATACTATGGTATTGTTCATAGAAAAACATGGAAATTTATCATCTGTCGATTTCTGCATCATTCTAATAATGACGGCAGATCAATAATTATAATAAAAACAACTACATAGTTTTATTTCATTTAAGGAATTCTCTCTACCCTTAGCCAATCTCACCAAAGCAGAAATCTGCAGAACTGTTGATGAAACAAGACAATATAATAAAACAAGATAAACAAAGACTCTCTCAATTACTTCCCTGTGGAGATCTATGATTATCCAATATAATTTATTTCTGCACTTAATCAACGAAACTCTGCACATCCCAGCTTTGATAGCTTTATCCTGAGTCAAACAAGATTTGTAGTGCCCAAAGAAATCATAACTTAAAGATTGTTCCTTTTGCTTAGTTTTCCTTTTTCTCTCTCTTGACGTCCAACAGCTGTGACGTCAAAACGTATGTAAAATATATGCTCGGAAAATGTTATTTGTGCTGTGTTAAAATTATTTGTAACGAGAAAAATATTGTTAGTTGTTTCATTAATAATTCAGTATTAAATTTTAATAATTGTTAAATTTAGATATTTTATTTATTGTGTTTTTTACTGTAAATGTTTTAGTGTATATTGTATTTTTTATCGTACTCAGCAAGCTTAGTCAATTCTTGTTATCAGTGGATTAATAACTCCACATCAGTGGATAACTGAATCTCGAGCAAGTGGCAACCTGTGATGTGCCTTAATTGAAATCTTTTACCATGATCCTGATTAATGATGGTATTCGTGGAGAAAATTAACCCATTTTTCACAATGATTAACATCTCCCTCTATCAAAAGTCAGATTTCTGAATTGAATCAATCAAAATGTGTGAATTTAAAACTGTAAACCTCTGCAAGATATCATAATTTTAGTCGCAAATAGCTAGAATTGGTTCAGTTATGAAGTTCATGTGAAGTTTACAATTGTATCATGCTTTGTTTCACTCCACTCTTTTTACTGATGATGAAGTTCATTCTAAAATATTGAAAATCACTGCAATATCGAGAATAATTTTTCATTATGTATGAATAATAATGTGATTTTAATTTTCATTTTTTGTCAACTCTTCATTTCCTTCCTAGTCCAGTCATATATGCTGCCATACTAAGGAGAAACGCCGTATGGACCTTCAGGGTTGCCAAACTTTCTTTGATAAAACACGAATTTTTTGGTAAACTTAAAAATATCTCCCTTCCAATTTTTCAAATAATTTTGTTCGCAATTTCACCTAAAGTCCCTGAAAATGTCAAAGAAAAATCTTCATATCTTTCCTCAAAAATAAACATTTTATTGAAGGAAATCTGGCAACTCTCGAATGTTCATACGGTGTCCTTTCATAGCACGGCAGTATATTACGTCTACGTACTCCGTATATCGATGGCCAAAGAGCTAAACCACGTATCTCCATTTGCTAGGTTGCAGACTTTCTGTGATAATTGATATTTTTCGAAAAAGTACCTAGTCAACTTAGTTTCTTAATTTGATCGCTGTCTTGATTTCTCTTCTCTGTCTGCAGAATGATCTCTATAAATTTCACGCTAAAAATTCGGCTTGTTTTTCCCGTAAAAAATAAAATGAGAGCTGAAATTTTGAAACATCGCAGTGGAAGTATACGTGGTTTCACACATTAGCCATCGACATTCAGTCATGTATATCTACAAGTATATTGTCCCTTTAAATACTTATTGGGCGAAATGATACATATCAAAAGTATTTTGCATGGACCCATTCTCCACCTGGAATCTTCATTATTTGATTAATGGATGCAAGCCAATGATTGCACTTGTATGCCAGGAACTGTACTACCGACCACCCACACTTTCCTTATTTTAGCAATTGCAAAAGTCTGTACCTGGCTTGTGAAATCCTCAGGCCTTCATCAAACAGAGTTTGAATTTTGAAATGTGGAGAAGTTATTATTCCCTTGGAAACTGGGGCAGGTATGAAAATTTTCTATGACCGCGTGATCATGTCCTCAAAAAAAAAAAAAAAAAAAAAAAAAAGNACGCTTCGTTTTACTCTCCAATGGAGACAGAATGACAATTATTATCATTACGAAAAATTTCATATCAGAAAATACAATATACAGTTCCTTAATAATTAGGAACAAAATTACAATAGAAAAGAAAACAACTTTAGAGTCATTTCAATTGTGACTCCAAAATGCGTGAACTCAACAACAAATGCAGTAAATTTCTATCGCACAACTGGCATCATGACAACAATAATATATTATCTCATGAGCTTTTTTGATCATGAGGGTAACTTGTTACACAGGTGTTAGGACATTTTGTCAACGATTTTTTGTTCGCGCACCTTTTTTGTCTAGTAGTTTACGCCCACACATAAAATAAGCAACAGTGACTTGGTCCAAGCGTTATATTTTAGTCGGTAGGTATGTAGAATTATATTGACAACTAGGGGCCTGAGGCCGCTACGCGTCCGCTAAACACTGAAAGGGAACTGCTCGTAAGAAATCATAGAACAATCACGTTCAAGTTACTTATTATAATTGAATAGCAACTTGAATTGACAATAAATTTTGAAAGAAGATATAACATGCTCTGAAATTTTGGAAATTGAAATGGGAATTTTGAATTTATCATCATTTATTAACAATGTAAATTTATAATCTGGAAAAATTAAATTATTCCGGAAAATAATTTCGGACTTTTAAATGTGAAGTGCCAGTATTGTGATGCCTTGCATTTCAAAAAAGAGGAGGTGAACGGCCATTTTAACAGGTGTTGTCATAATGGTCTTCTCAGACTTGCCGAGCCTGGAATCAATGACCAACTTCGCGACCTCTTCTCCAAACCCATATTCATTAGCAACATTTTGAGGTACAACAGTTGAATGACTATTGCATCTCTGTCTGCTTCGAAAGCTCATATAATTTTGAACCAAATCTTCTGCTATCGAATACGAAAAATCATGGAGAATTTAAGTTTTACGTTGACCAGCTTCTCGAAAAGAAAAGAAAATTTCTAAGGAAGTCTGCAACGTCGCAAAAGGAGAGACCATCGTCTCTCATTTTGCCCAAAAATATGTATGTATAATTTTGGAGGCATTATGACTGGCCTCTCTCAACTTATATTCGTATGTAACGATAAGCAATGGGACGCGTTTGCTACGGCACCTTGATACAACTATACAACCTCGACGGATGTCCGTATTGCGTTCAAAAAATTTGAAGGCGTTTTGACCTCATCCGCATCATACCTGTAGTTGATTCGATCGACAAACGCGTTGGTCGGCGGTGACAGGGACTTGATGCATTTTCTTAAACTTGATGGATGTCCGTATCGGACCGACTGAAGTGCGAAACCACGTATCTCCATTGCGGTGTTTCAAAATTTCCGTTCTTAATTCATTTCTTCAGTATTAAGATATCTCAATATATTAAATTTATAAGAATCTCTTTCATTAACATCGTAAAAGCTCCGTCGAAACGAATACGGTAAATCACGCATCAGTGTCATTTCGCCACGCCGCTCGATGCGCCGCAAGGAGGGGTTGCGAAAAACATGCCCACGCCTCGCAGGACGCCCACGCTTTGAATACGGATTCTCTCAGAGTTGCTAAAAGAAATTTCATCGAATGAAATTTCATGAAATTTCTTTTTTCCCGATGAAATTTCTTTCGACCGACAAAATGTCAAAAATGCTTATTTTTTCTAACAGAATTTGTTTTTATTTTCAAAGAGAATAATATTCGTCAATTAGACCAGTTGGAGCGCGGTCTTCTCTCAGCTCTTCACTTCTGGTCTTCTCTTAACTACTCTTTCTCTTCTGGCAGTTCTGGCTCATCATGGGGAGGGGGACCGGGGACCCTAACCTCAAATTTCAAACTGTTAATTTCTGAAAAATCAGAGACAAATGAAAAAATCATTTAAATTATTTCAAAGATAGTTCAAGATCCCTCCCTTTTGTACCAAAAAAGAACGATATACTATTAGGGGGTAGTAGGATTCTTTATAGTCAAGAAATTTGTTTTGCTCCAAATATGAAAGCTAACGTCTTACTTTAGCCGTAAAATTTATTTTGGTGTTCAACCGGTACGGCTGTGTGTTCAACCAAAATTTAAGATAAAAAATTCAAAATTATGTTTTTGCTGTTTTACTCAACTTTCTGGGCATTTCTAAAGTTCCCTTTCACAGTTTACCACGTGCCTATAAATGAACTCAAGGAGATTCATAAGTTTCAAGGGTTTAATCCTGAATTCTGCGTGTTAAATGAAATTTCATTATGAAATTTCTTTTTATAATCTTTCATGAAATTTCTTAACTCTGTTTAACTGAAGACAAACAAATTGCGAGACAACGATGGTCGACGGTGCACTACGCTTCCGCAGTAAATCCATCATCCACGGTCATTTCCAGGGAAACGAACGAACCGGGCAGCCGAGTCATCAGACCGAAGAAAAATAGGACGGGAAAAAGGAAAAACCGCGCATCTCCCGACGGGACCAACGGGACAACCGTTTTTCCCGAGGGGGCGAGGGGGGCCGGGAACGCCGGCCGATCCCTGTATTTTTCCCGCCGTCGGGGGACCGGGACGGTCGAGCCGGTACCACCCGCGCACGGATCGGCCCGGCGGCGGTTCGCGCTGAATTTCGACGCAAAGAAAATGAGAAATTGGGAGAGAAGGAGGTGTTTTCATGGTTGCTCATATTCTAAATGAAATGTTATTACTTCCTCCTTTTGAATCAGCTTTTTAAATTGTCAGTGGTGAATATTTGGTCCGTTTCTTCAGCTGCCAAACTTCACATCCGTATGTTAATATACTTTTTACTACAGCGTTGTATGTCCTCCTCTTGTTATCTTTGGAAATCCGCTGATCCCAGAGGATTCCATTTAACATCGCTATAGCCTTCCTTGCTAAGGTGTTCCTTTCCCTGATAGCTTGATCCGGACACAGAACACGGACACAGGATATGCTAAGAGCAACGGAGATGGATTTCTGGAGAAGGTCGGCAGGAACTTCTAGGAGAGATCGGGTCCGTAATGATAGAGTGCGTCATATAATGGAAGTCGAAAATGACATCGTGTTCGACGTCATGACCAAACAACTTGTTTGGTATGGTCATGTCAATAGGATGACGGAAGAGAGGCTGCCAAAAAAGATGCTTGATTGGGTTCCTCCTGGGAGGAGGCGTAGGGGACGCCCAGTGAGAGGTTGGCGACAGGGGGTGTTAAATGAGATAAGAGATTGTCAACTCCCTGATAACCTGTGGGAAGACCGAGCTTTGTGGCGATTAGGTGTCGCAAAGCGCCAAAGAGCGCTATAACAGCGACTCGTATGTATGTATGAATATTTGGTTTCATTTCTATCCTTAAAATATTCGATTTACAATATACCTCATATATGTATAATTTTTTCTTTACGAAATTATAACTTCATTTTGAAAACATTTATATTTTTAAAACGTGACAAATTTTTGTAAAACCTTTTCCAAACAACATTAAACTCAATGAGCCGCAGTTGTGCCGACAGAAACTGCAAAAATGAATAAAAGAGGGGAAAAAACCAAGAAGCACGCAATCTTTAGTTTCAACCCATTGGTACATCGATCTTTTAGAGTCAAATACGTCAAATTTTGAGCGTTTGGTTGCGCGTACACCTCGCTGCAGCACAATAAAAGCACAAAATGTAAAAGAAAAAATTAAAGTGCTTTGGAAATCATTAAATTTGACACGGAACCACCAATATTTAAAAAACACACATTATATTTTCAGTCTCCTTTGATAAATTGATACATATTTTTTTTCCATTAATGTAAATGAGAATAATCAATGCAGAGTGTGCTAACATTTCAAAATCATGAGTTAAAAACCGCTGACTATGCGAGTATAAATATTAAAGCCAACAAAACGGAGCGGCGTGCTGCCAGCGAGAGAGGCTCACTGGCGCCTACAAACCTAAGTGGATACCTCACGCATTGCACAATGCTTGAAGTATCCACTTAGGTTTGTAGGCGCCAATGCGCGTCTCGCGCTGGCCGCCCGCCCGCCGTGCGGCGGCGCCTGGGGCAATTATTTCACAACAGAAGTGCTGCACAGTATTGAAACGAAATTTAACGTATTAAGAATGACTGGCACCCTTTAAAAGTACTTATCTTTTTTGCAAAATAAATCAAGATACTTATCGTAGGCACTTAGGAAAAATCTAAGAGCCTTTAGCTGAGGCAAATATAGAGGTTTATCCGGTTCAGGGATAACAAGGTGGGAATTTCCTGAAAGATAATTAAGTCCTGTTACACCAAAGAGGTGTAGAGAGTTTTAGTGAATTTTGTCTCATGGAATTGACGCTCCCCCATTTTTACCAAAACTCTCAACTATATATTTTCTCCGTCGGACCAAACAGACAAAACAAAAAAACAAGCAAACCCTCGTTCTTCCAAGACATTATACATTTTCATCCAAAAACGTGGTGAGCATAATTGTCGTTTGTATTTACATGTGGGTCAATTAATTTTGGGTCTCAACTGGCACGTGGACCAAAACTCCTGTGCCGAAAAAACGCGTGGACCTAAATTATTAATTACTGGAAAAAACAGGTGCGCGGACAAAAAATCGTTGACGAAATGTCCTATAACCCGTTACACATGATGCCAGAGGCGCCAAGCACTTCGGGAGAGGAGGAGGTGTTTGGACCGCGAAGCGGTCAGGGGGCGTTTCACCCAACCAATACAAATTCCAAGAAATAGCTTGGTTTATCTTCACTGTCCAGTCACTTGAGACGCTGGTGACAGTGAAGCCTTCAATTTTGGGGATAGGCAAAAGCGGCTCCTTCGGAGCCACAATAGTCGTATTCCAATATCAACGGCGAGATCACTGGAATGCGCACCTCGATTCCAGTGTTTCCACTCCTACCTACCCTATTTCTTTACAGAGTAATACCAAACACATACCTGCACGAAATTTTCAGATAATATCCTTGAGAGGAGGTAGGCAAATCTCATGAATTTTTCTGCGCCACAACAATAAAAATAAATAAATACAAAAAAACAAAAAAAAAACCCCCGATGCAATTCTTTAAACTGAGACTTGCGGTCTCTTAGCTTCATAGTATCATCGAATTAAGGTTTCCTCCCAAAAATTACTTATTGCTAATTTGATGGAAGTAACTTTCCTGCTCTATCTTCCTTAACAACTACCTTTCTATCATTAACTCATTTCAGGGTTGTTAACGGTGGCGTGGCGTGCTTTGCGATACATCGATTGATACGCCACTCAAACCTATGAAAATAAAAGATCGATTTTCAGGGTGTTCGTAGCGAACACCTCAGTAATCGAATCTTTACCATAGCTTCAAACGGCGAGATATCGATAATCGATCATTCACGCCACGCCACTGGTTGTTAAAACAAGGGTAGAAGAAGGTATTGTTGGGGGGAGGAAATTATTACTTACTATCCATTGCGATGTTTCAAAATTTCCGCTCCTATTAAAATTTTCGAGGAGGACCAAGCCAATTTTACAGCCTGAAATTGTTATAGAATATTCTGTTTACAGAAAAGAAAAATCGAGGAATTTTTTAGGAAATTATGTTGACCAGGATTCGGAAAATATGTCTTAAACATGACAGGAAGGCTACAACGTGGTAAACGGAGGCACGTGGTTTTGCGCTTTGGCTATCGAAATGAGACCCCAGAGGTATATAAAATCTCCAATGAAGGTAATAAATTTGGGGCCTAGAGGACAAGGCGCATAACTGCAGTTTTCGAAAAATTGAGATATTAATGATTTCAAGTGAAACTAGTCTGAATGCATATTCCGGGAAAAATTCGCTCCCAAATTCCAATTTTTAAGCATCTGAAAGTCAGTTTGAACTTTCTTTTCGCCATAAGGACCCATGTAATTTCGAAACTTCAAACACGTATTCCTCGAAATAGCAAAAACTGCACTTATGCGGCTTGGCCTTGTCCACCAAGCCCTTCAAATGTTTGAGCGTCCATCATTTCCCAACAAGGCACTAGAAGCTAGTTTAGTTGCCTTCGGTCGTCGAGTTTTGAGATTTTAAAAGAGGGAGCTAAATGTTTTAAGTTATCTCTTCGATACTTACAGTCCGAAAATGGCATAAAATGATGCATATTGGTGGCAAAATTTTGAGAAATTTTTCGGATCTGGCCGCGATGGAGCCCTCCGATCCTCATCCAGCTGGAGCAGTGGCGTGGCGTGAATTGCGATATATCGATTGTTACGCCATTTAAACCTATGGTAAAGAATCGATTATTAAGGTGTTCGCTGCGAACACCTTATTTATCGATCCTTTTCCATAGGTTTAAATGGCATAACAATCGATATATCGTAATTCACGCCACGCCACTGAGCTGGAGACATGGTCCCCTCACATCAACCTTTGGAAATTCTGCAAGAGTAGGAGCTTTGGGGTCCAATAGAGGATGTGAGATTTGGAAAGCCTGCCGATGGTGCCCGATGGTACATGGTAAGGGAAGGTAAGTAATATTTAATGTCCAAAATTCCGGTCTTCTCCTGCTTCTGCCAAGCACATACTACAGTGCATATTTTACTGATGCATTTTCTGAGGAGTTTTCTTAGGGTTGGACTAGCTCCCATCTCAGGGCGTAGACCCTTAGCCAGCTAAAGGGGCGTGAAGTGATATTTTGCCACCACGTGGAGGTCCAGAAATTTCTGGCAAATCAGCACAATTTTGAGCTATTTTCAGGTTCGAAGTTTATTAAGTAGGTAATCGCACACAGGGCCGGATTAAGCGGGTGGCCACATGGGCCGCGGCAAATTTAGGGGGCGGAAAATTTTGCATTTTTTTTAAATGTGGGTATTAAAAAAATCGGATTCAGAAAAAAAAAATTATCAATGAGAAAAGAAAATAAAAACTCTCTTTCCAGAGAGTATAGTAATTTCTAATTTTGTTGTTTTTCGGTGATATACAAGAGACAGCATCTTTAATTAGTCGTGTTTAGAGAGGAACTAAACACGCAATTTGGCCTGGAGCTCAACACAAAGAGGAATGATGACGAGGACTTGAGATGAAAAGGACAAGCCCTCGGCGCAGCGGTCGGCATGTATCACATATTAGCGCCTACACGACTGCATGAATACTTCACCCATTGCGCCAAACACAGTGCGGTCAGGAGCGGTTGGGGTTGGCGTGAAACGCATAGCGCCTACAAGACTCCAGGAATACTTCACGAATTGCGCCAAACACAGTGCGATCAGCGCGGCGCAGCGGCGGAAGCTAAAATTATTAAACCACATTTATGTTTGTTCTTTCATAATTTTTTGGCTCATCTCTTATAAATGGAGGACCTTGTCCACACAGAGATAGGTTTATGGAACTTAACTTTCACGTCAAGTTCCGTGAAATTTTGCTAGCAGTGTTGACAGGGCTATCGCAAAAAATGTATCCAACACGAGTAAGTAAACGCGTCTTATGCACCCCTCCTCCTCCGGCACATTCACTTGATGGTTTTTATTGATGTTTCAAAACGAATGAGAAGGGAGCGGCAAAATACAGGCGGCCCATGGGCGGCAATCAGGTAAATCCGGCCCTATCGCACAGAGAAAAAATTGCAAAATTGAACACTTTTAAGTAACCGGGAGACTTAAGTACTTAATGAAAGCTAAATATATGAAATCAAAGCTAGGTACCAGACGCATCCATGCATCATTTTTTCCAGGAGAATCGAGCTAGAGCTCGCAATCTATAATACTGCTTTTAAAAACTTCTTCCTTTCAATACTGATTAAGTATAGCAAAGTAGCTAGTGAGTAAAATAAAATCGAAGTTTTCTACCATTGATGGGTATTTTTCCCGCCAAAATTCGTAGGAAAAGGGGGGAGGGACAGATGAGGAATTTGGTAAACTTTGTGCAACACATTCAAAAATTCAGAATGGAATGCTTTGGACATTTTTTATTCGTATAATAACATTTAAACTATAAATTTTAATGAATCCAAAATTTGAAATAAAATAAGTGTTTTCTCTTAAAAAATTGTAAAAGACTTGTATTTTACATTTATTACTTTTTAGTTATTTATTAGCGCCCAAGTTTGAGTAGCACATACTTGACTTGCGCCGTCTTGAATTCCTTGCCGTGTTCCTTGTTTGTTTTCATTTCACTTTACCACGTTCCAGTTTCCATAACAAAACGAACAAAACATGGTTCCTATTTTTTCCGCTATGTCCTCCCTCGATGATATGTCCTACATTATCCGTCTTGCTGAGCCAGAAAAAGACTCTAAGTGTAATCTGAATTTCAAGGAATGTTTGTCGATGAAGAATCATTTCCATATGAAGTGTTCAGTTACAGTGAGAAATCGCTGCGTTGAAAGTTTTTCGTCGGTTTGCCGGTAACCCTCACTTCTATTTTATCAGTGAACTTATTGCTTAAAGTAGTTTTTTTAAGTCTATTTATCTTTCATAGGTTATACTCCTCGAAAGTTCTGTAATTCTCGACTCTGCCCACCTATCTCAGTGCTACTATCAGTGGCCTATTAAGTTTTCGTTTTGGTTTCAATTCAGCGACCTCCTATTTGTGAGATACCTTATCAGTGAACCATACCTTGGTATGTTTTGATTTCTCTCCCTGTATCTTTCATCTTCACTATCAGAGGAGTTATTCACAGTATGTAAGTAGGCAGTAGGAAATCTATACAGTCCACACCTCCCAACTGCATAACCTTGTAAGGTGATAAGTTTCTTTTGCACAGATGTTCATTGGAGAAGATATCTTACCGCTAAAATTTGCTCCCAGCTAAGTGCATCGTCAGTTGCTGTACGCAGAATTTGTGAATTCAGTTCTAACAATGTATGTGTACCACCTATCATTGTTGATTCTTGTAAGCTTTGCCTTCCTGCAATTCCACGCACAAATTTTTTCACCATGTAAGCCTTTGATCATTCTGACTACTGAGGTATTTGAGATTGGGAGATATCAGTACGACTAACATTTTTCATTCTGGGAGTGACTAAATCTTCTTTAGCGGCAACAATGTTGGGAATGCACATGCATTTACTTGATGTATCGTTAGTTCAAAACTGACTCCATGTGATCCTAATTTACTTGCTCTGTGGCGAAGTTACATGATCATGGGTCCGTCTCCTTCCAAATAGGTATATTTTACAGGCCTCTAACCTGGTGACGAATAAGTTAGGGAAGATGCAATTTTTTCCTTTCGGAGTTCCTAGATTTCTTTAGCCATCATCAGCTGGTGGTTTTAAGAGTATTTGTGCTATATGGTGAGCTTCTTCAGTCCATAAGTACATCGTAAAAGGACGTACGAACAACCCACATGAACACCATGTGTCTTCTCGGATTTGACCTTTATTTAGTTACCTCTTACAATAATTACTCATGCTATTACAATGCTCATTGACATTCTAGATAATCTCATGATATTTATATCTTTCATTCAGTATTACTGTTAGTTTGTACCTTTGTCAGCTCTATACCGATTAATGTTGGTTCTCATCAGAAATACCATGTTCTCATTCGCAGAGATAAGAAATTGAGCTTCTTAGTCAACTCGCTGACAGTGCATCACAAAGCGGTTAATTTTACTTTAAATTTTGGCCAATTACTCAAATTTGTAGAACAGAAGTAGGTATCAATCTCAGATAACGCTCAGTCAGCTTTTGCGCTTAATTTACTTTGGTTTTTCTTCCTGCAGTTTGAACATCACCAGTTAGCCTCAGTCCCAGTGTCCATTACTGATGAAGAATGATTGAGCTAGTATAGTCAAAGCTTTGCTCAGTGAAAATGGAAACTGATACATCTTGGACAAAAGGAGATTCATCAGTCAGTCTAATTCGTAAACCTGCTTACCTGTCTTACATACAGTCCCTTTTATATTTGTGCCGTTTTGGAGCACGGGTCTTCCATCGTCAGCTCCTCACATGAGTAAGTATGTGCATATATATATTGTAATTATTGAATAAGAATTTTCCAATGAAGAAGGGAATGGGATAGTGATGGTTAGAAATAGCTTTATCGGTATCTGCCGTACGAGTATGATAGATAGTAGTTGTGGTACATAGGTAAAATATGGCAGTACTGGTAATTTTTTAAACTCAGTAATTGAGATGCATTGTGCTGAACATTAAGAAGCAACTTTTGTGAGATCACAAGCTGCTCAACTCGGTTTGTTCAACCATGAAGTTTTTTTTTTTTTTTTTTTTTTTTTTTTTTTAATATTAACAAGCAGTAGGTAATATCTTGTTTTTTCTGCACAGGCATCATGGAAATGGCTAATACAAGCTCCCATTGGGATGACACCCTCTCGAATATGTCATCATGCTCTTCGTCACTGGAGGAATCGACAACCTCCTCAACATATACGTCGACCTCAGACGAAGGCGAGGACTATGGTGTCAAAATGGAAGAGTGCGATTTGGAAGGAGTCCGTCTTCTTCTTCCACAGGAGCTGTGCGAAGACCCAGCAATATTCAAGGAGATGTTTAATGCTGGGTTGTGGAAGTCGTTAAGTGAAGAAAACAAGAGGCATTTATTGGTGAGTATATCCAAAACATGCTTGCACTTAGTCTTTGACCTAATTTATTTTTATTTTAAGGTTAAACAGTTCTCGGGAAACCAAATGAGCAGTTGAGACAATTGTGGCTATTGGACTGTTGAAAGTAAACTCTAAATTCAGTCTGTTTTTGGAGTCTCTATAAAATGAAAAATGTTCGTTTAAAAAAAAAAACTTTTTTTGATAAGCCCAAAGTGGATAAATTGAAACTACCTCTTAAAATACACTTAATGTTGAAAAGGTGTCAAAAGGTTTCTAAACATTGGAAAGCGTCATAATAATGCCATCGAATCCATTGTTTAAAGTTTTATTAATTTTTCAAAGTAATGCTGCTTTGTCTCAAAGCATAAACATTTTTAAGTTGTCATTCTTGCTTATTAAGTAATTTTTAGATGAGCAATAGATGCTAGAGTAAAGCATAAACATTTTTAAGTTGTCATTCTTGCTTATTAAGTAATTTTTAGATGAGCAATAGATGCTAGAGTAAAGCACTCGGATTACTAGCACTTGGATTACTAAATTATCTGGATGAGAAATATTCACGAGTTGCATTATTAATTTGTGTCATTTTATTATCAGAACTTTTTCCCATCGTTCCCGCAAAATGACATGCAAGAAAAATCAAAAACCCTGCAAAAACTCTTAAGCGGTGAAGCCTTCCAGTTTGGTGTCAACCCGTTAACGGACTTCCATGAAAAACTAAGGGCCGGGAATTTCAGTCCTGATATCGCCAGAGTTCGAGCTTTGCTCAAACGGGCACAGTACAAGGACTACAAGTAAGCTTACTCGATTGTTATCTAGACTTAATCTTAAAGTCATTCACAAGTATCTTGCAAATTGAATAAGTTTTTTTTTTCCTTTTTTTTGATCAATTAAAGTGGTGATTATTATTGATTAAATACTGACCTTAATATTGACCAGAGATATCAGGAAAGAGCTTCATTTGATAAGTAATTAAACCCCTAAAAAACGTTTTATTAATATTTATTTGGTGAAGTGCATCTCTCTTTCCATTACATAAAAAAGCTGAGTTTTGAAACAAAATGAAAAATATCAGGATCCATGCTTAACAATGTTATTCCTTTCGGTAAATATGCATCTGTCTTAATTTTATGGTGATTTTTAAATTCTTCTTGCCTTTTGTTTCAGACAAAGTCAGAGACGCTACTACTTTCAACTAATGAAAAATATTTTACTGTCTCGACATCGGTTACTCTCTGCGGCAGCCAGTTTGCCCCCAGGTGCCCCCCTTCCACGGTTGCAGCCGGTCGGCCCAGCCTCCTCCTCTTCAACTTCCTCTCCTATATACCAAAAGGTCCGCCACAGGTATTTCAAGGAGCTGGAATCAATTAAACAAGAAATAGGTGAATCTAGTCAAAGTTCAGAAGACGAAAGTTTTCCAGGTAATTTTAATATGCAGTGAAATCAAATACAAATTTTGACCGTAAACCAAACCAAACCAACAAACCAAGAGATCTCTAAATGCAGTTTCATCCGACCTACACTAAATTGCCCCTATACTCTGACTCCAGCTTCACTTAGGAGCTGAATCAACGTTCCCCTTGGGTCTTCTCTTTTTCAAAACATTGTTTCAATTGTAAAGCTACTTTCTGTACCTTTGTTTTCAAAAATGAACCAATAATCGGTAGAAATGGTTAATTCAATCTCATTTTTTATTACAAGCACTGATTTTATTAGAGAGGCACGGAGTAGTTGGCTTGAGATATTATCTCATCAGTTCAATTTTCTAGTGTGGCAAGTTTTTTTTTTTTTTTATTGTTTTTTAGAAAGAAATTTATGCCAAGTTTCAACAGGTCAGCTTTTGTTACTAAGTTTCTAATCATTTATTATCATTCTTTTTTCTTGCAGAGGGACCTCCTCCGAAGTTGAATAAGAAGCAAAAACGGCAATTACTCCAACTTGAACAATGTCTTAGTCCAGACATGAACCCTGTGACATCAACACTGGTGCCTAAATCAACATCTTTTGACCTCATTCGTTCCGTCAACTCCTCTTGTAATCCCTTTGAGGTCACTGAAGATTCTTACCGAGAAATGCTTCTTGCTCACAAACGGAAGAAAATGAATGGCGTTGTCAAGACAAAAGTAAGAATTGATTCATTTGAATTGCATTGAGCAAGCATAATTCAGACATACAGTAAATGCAAGATTGTTGGTCACGTTGGAAAAGGCAGGAGCAATTAGGAAAGCCGAAACTTTTTTTGTTTAAATTTTGGCACAATCGCTCGAAAAAAAGTGCAAACATGATCGCGTTTTGCTGGCAGATCTCGCACTGTCACTTAGCGAGAAAAGGAGATGCATGGCCATACAGCTTTAACTTTAAGTATATTTTAGTATATTAAACTGAAATGAATTGTTCGTAATTCATTCTAGCCCAAAGCAAAAACATAAATTAAATCAAGCAATAGCAAACCAAAATATTCGCAAACAAAAAATGCATTGTTTTTTGTGTGGCAACAGCCTAAGAACATCCCCTTACTCCTCTTTACCCCTCCTCATTACACCTTTATATCTTTCTGCATTATCCTCGTCTGCAGCCTGATTGTTGGAAATTTTTTTTGTCGAGACGACAAAGATGACATAGGATAAAAGGCGGGGCCCGATTGGTCGGCTATGTCTTATCGCTGCTTTGTCGTGCCTATGTCGGATTGAACTCACGACAAGCTAATGGCACCTCTTAAGTTTCCGATAGTATGTCGTCCATTCCACCTGACAAAGGCACGACAAAGCCGACCAATCATGCTCCGCCTTTTAACCTATGTCATCTCTGTCGTCCCGACAAACAAAAATTTTCAACGATCAGGCTGCTGGTGGAGAGCTCACTCATTCATTGGATTTAAATACGTAGTGTTAAAAAGAGCCTTCCTTTCTCTTTCGCACATACCTCACACCTTTTAGCACATCTATGACTAAAGTGTCAAACCACGGCCTTCATTGCAATGTTTCAACATTTTCCCTCCTATTTTATTATTTCCTAGAAATAGAAGCAAACTCTCCAGCCTGAAATTTATACAGAATTTTTGCTAACAGAGAAAAAAAATCCAGAAAGTTTTCAAGAAAAAACGTTGACTAGTTTTTCAAGGAATAAATAAAGTATGACTGAAATTCCTTCAACGTCGCAGAGATATGTACCCTGTTTTGCACCTAGCTATCAATTTATTTTTTCTGTGTGTGATTCATGTTTGCTTTTAGGCAATTTTTTAAGGGACTCTCACACTTCAGCAATTGAGAAGTATTTTTTGTGGGAGGGGGCGAGGGGAGGGGTGTTTTTTCTCTATTGTGTTGTGAACTTTGCAGTTCAATTCAAAACTATTTTTATTCGTTGGAAAGTGATAAAAATTAGAAAATCCAACTTAATCTTACTCAATTTTAATTTACATTGTTTTTTTTTTTCTTTCAGGTACCTAATCGTTCCCAGTTAAAGCGGCCAAGTAGTATAGACCTCCATGCCAAAGGCGGCGTTGTTGTAAATAAAAAACAAAACGTTAGAAGTAGTGAACCTAGGCCTCAGAAGAGGGCACACAAATCAAAGTCATCACTGATGCCTGTAAATCCAAAAATTAGCTCATTAGTAAGTTTCATCTTTCTTCACAGTGTTCATCAAATTCGTCTAGTTTTACAATATAGAGTTTAATCTTTTCATCTCAGGAAAGAGCATGGTGAGTTTTGAGTTAGTGAAATAGGTCAAACATTTTAACTATATGCAAGCATAAAATTAAGAATTTAAGAGATTTTGAAACCATCATATCTAATTTTATGGATAAGCAGAAATGAAGTTTAATAGAGAATACTTAGTGTGAAGGACACAGTTACTAGCACGAAACAACAACAAATCACCAAAAAAATAAGTTAATAAATGATTTAAGCGTAGCTGGGTCACGCAATTCACTGAAATGATCATTGCATAGGAGAATCATTACATAGTGGAAGAATGGGTAAAGATTAAAAAATTCTAACAATGCTCCCCAATCAAGCCAAACCCTACTCGCATCAATTTTTAATGTTGCGTCATTTATTTTTTATTAAAGGTAAATCCATCTTGCCAAAGTTGTGATGTAGTTTTTAAATTTATCCCTTCGTAGGGTCCTTACCAAACAAAGATCTTCAGGCTTTATCTCGTGTAAGGGAGCATGTTGACATTCGTAACTGAATTCTTTGTAATAATTACATGAATTTTGGGATTTCAAACTTATTGAGACCACTAACGTCTACGAAACAAAAAGTTAGCGGATTTCATGGATGATGTGCCATGTTCTCTTACTGTTCATGTTTTTCATTTGGCTGTCTTGTATGTTCTATCCTAGGATATTGAAAATTGTGAATCGGAAGGGGATGAAAATGCTCTTCCCTCTAGTACGCTTTTAGATATTGAAGGTGATTCTTCGTCTTCATCTTATCTACCTGGGTAAGTGGTGGAATTTCTCCTATCAATATTTCCTCCTTATAACTCCTTGAATAAGTGAATAAAAAAAAAATTAAGGATGCACTATTGTTGCGTAGATTATGCACTTTTGACTGAAACTTAAAAATTCCTTGTAGCAGGGTGTCCTAGGGTGATCAAGAAAAAAGTTTCAATCAGATTTCGGGTCTTTGTAAAAATTCTGGAAGGTACGTGACTAGAATAGAGCTGATAAAAATTTTGGGTCGATCTGATAATTTTTGGAATGTGCGCACCCTCCAGCCCCCCTCCCGATTTAGACTAAAATCGTGATATTTCTTATTTTCACTTTCAGACAATGTTAACACACCTCGCGTGTTGGGAATATCGGCTCCCAGCAGAAACTCTAAAAGACAGAATACCAAAGTAAATTTTTAGAAAAATATGGCACTATCTGATTATTTTTAATAAATGCCCACCCCCCGAGAGCACAAAAAAATGCCAGTTTTGCAAGTATTTCCACAGTTTTAAATCCATTTGATCTTAAATAGTATTTTTTGACGGTTATTTTTTTTACATTGAAGGAGGATGCGCACCTCCTTTAAATAATGGGATCCTGCCCAAATTTTAATGCATGCTTCAAAAATAAACAGATTCTTGCAAAAATGTGTCTTGCCTACCTTTCATAATTTTTACCGAGAACCCAAATCCGGGACCAAAAATTTTTTCTGGATTACCCTGAACGTGTCAAGTCCCAAGGGAATTTTGTGAGGTCAGGAAAATGAAAGGAATTTCAGGGAATTAAAGGAAGGCTGCAATTTTAAAAAAATGTAGAAACTTGCTAAGTGGGAAACAATCAGCGCTCTGGGAATCTAACTGAGTCTCAATTTGATTCAGTACTCAATGCCATGGAAAGGAATAATTTTCAATATGAAATTGCGTTTTTAGTTGATTGAATTATTAACACCTGGAGAAAAATATTTGAAATGTTAGTTCATTTTGAAATTCAAACGCTTTGTCAATTAACATGAAATTTTTTCATAGTAAGTTAGTAATGTTGAAAGTGGTCTCATAAGTAGCTCCGTGTGTAGAGTTTGCATAGGATGTCAAGTAATTGTTTCGAGAGAATTTTTATTATTGAAGACCAACTATCTGTAGGTTGACACTTGTATATAATATTTATAAAAAACTTTATTATCAGTATTTTCCAACATACCTAGTCAGGATTTTTTGTGTTAAAAAAATCTGGTAGTCTATTGTGTCTTCCGCATGGAAAAAGTATGGACGTAAAAGAAATGTCTGGGAAAGTTATTACAGAACAAGTTTACTTGCTGTAATGACATAATTTTTAGTGTAAAATCAATTGACGATTCTTAATCTCTCATGTCATGATAGGATGCCCAAGTCCAAAAGCAAAACAAAGAGTTTTACCGTTGAGTCGACCTCAAGGGATACTGGTGGCAGAGTTACCGAATCAAATATTCAGCAAAGTTCAAGTAAGTATCTCATTACCTACACATTTTTTCTTTGTCTATTGATCTCAACTCGTTACCTATCATAATTTTTTACAAACAACCAAAGACCTCAATATATATCCTTTTTAGGTCGAATCATGAACTTAATTTGTCTCGGACAGTTCACTGAACCTGGACAATTTTAGCGAGATGCTGCATTCTTGATTAACATTTTATGTAACTCAATATAATCTGTGAAACCCTTTTAGGTTTAAAAATCCAAGCCATATAATTGTAAGCAGAAGAATATTTATTATCAGAATTAGGTGGAACTTATGAGAAACCTACTTATTAGAATTATTCTTTCTCTAAAAGCATGGTAGAAAGAAAACAGACACACAAGTAGAAACGAGTCCAGGAACATGAAATAGACTGTATTTGAGTCTAATAATCAAGAAAGTATTTAACTGTACGGTCATAACTCATACATTCTTGTTTTGCAGCAATTTTGCCTGTACCATTTCTTTTTGTACGGTATCCAAATGTACTAATTTTAAAACAAATTTCTGTTTCAATATTTATTGCACCTGTTCCAGGATTACCTGTTGGTCCACCACCGATGTATCCCAATCTTGGAAGTATCAACATGATGGACTTGCCTGTTGACATCGATGAGAGTAGTCAAATCGATGTTGAAGATATCAAGTAAGTTCTGTTAATTTGTGTGGTAAGAAAAAAATTAGTCTGTCAATCGTTTTATTTTTAGCCAATGTTGACTCCAGACAAAAGAAACATCTCATTTCAGCAGTAATATTCAATGATTTACAAATTTACCCTTGGTTAGGAAGTTTCCGCATTGGAATCATTTTACAAGAATTAAAGTGTAGTCCAATTTTATTGAAGTAACATTTTAAAAAAATGTGAATTGTGGTGTAAAGTGTTGGAAACTTCATGTCAAAGTCAATGAATGTTTAAGGCAGCAGTCATTCAGTAAACATTTATGATGAGTTTTCAAGCTTTTTCACGGATTTATTAAAGGCCTGAACCTACATCTGTGCAAAATCCAATGTGAATCACTTTTGAATGTTCCCAAAAAGCTTATGCTATTCTCAATAACAATCATGCCGAGCAGATCTAATAGAACCTTTCTTTTCCAGACCTCTTCCTGAGCTTCTGAAGAAGACTCACCCGTGTTACTTCTCCTTAATTCGTGATATATTTTGCTCAACGTGGGATCATAGACTCGGGTTGTTACCTCTACGAGAACAACTTCAGCAATGGTCAGAAAGTTCCACATCTCTCCTGAACAGTTGGTATTCACTGGCCAAATGGACAGAGTTGCTGCCCTCAGCCCTGGCTTTCTTAACTGGGGAATCAACTGGTAAGACTGCTGCAGTGATAATGTAAGATGCCTCTTACATAATCTGAATAATGAACGGTTTTCATACTTAAACAAGGACTAGTCTAAATGAATACATTAGACACCGTCTTATCTTGAAAAGTGCTTAACTCTGAGAAAAAAATCATTTAAGAAAATGGGAAAATCTGAAGTCAGCAAGAAAGTTTCAGTGAATGGGGAACGTTTTGGGGCGTAATATTCGTAGTTCCTAAAGAGAGCACAAAATATATGTATAACTTCAGTTCTTAAAAAAGCACAATATAAATGTCTTTAATCCTTAGAGTTGGTCTCTTTTCAAACAAAACAAAAAATTTGTGCGTATCTTTTCAATATAAAATGATTAAGAAAATAAATAAAAGATGCGTAAAGGCCCCAAAACAAATTCTCTACCCTGAAAGGGAATTTTTATTTTGCCTTAAGTTGGGCAGTTTTTAAAGCAAGACATTCCTAGAATGTAATGAATAGTGAACTCGTATCAGAAAGAAGAAAACATGGAGGTATCGAAGAAATTTTGTAGAAACACTGATTCAGTCTGAAATGTTCAATTAGGTCTTTTAATAGACTAATCAAATCACCTTTTGATTGACCAATCGAATTGCCTTTCCAGAGTCTTTTCATATTGTCAGTCCATGGATGGATCATATCCATCATTTTTGGGATAGACACTTGTTGCAGCAATTTTAGCGTAAGAACTTACTGTGATGTTAGGTTGAGTTAGTGATGTAGTTAGGAGAATGTATCAGTGAAATGTATATTTATGCGTAGGTGAATGTTTCATGATATTCATTTATTATCTTAAAACCTATAAATACGTTCAAAAGCCGTGAACAAAAAAACAAATGCCATCAAGAACAGAAATATACAGGGTAGGAGACTAATCGCTTTATTAAATAGAGTCCTTTGGGATCAAAAGATCACCAAAGAGAAGAAAACAAGGATATACAACACGATTGTCAAGAGTATAGTAACCTAGGGGTGTGAGGTATGGCCAATGAAACAGCGGACCCGGGAGGTTTTAGAGGCAATAAGATGCCTCTGGCGTAGATCCGCTGGCCATCGTGCATGACATTTTGACAAAACAATTCATTTGTTATGGTCGTGTCCAGAGAATGGCAGGAGACCAAGTAGCCAATTTTTATTGGTATTTTTTTGTAAGTTTTTTATAGTATGGTAATAAAAATACCATACCATACCGAAAAAAATAATCATTGATTTTTTATTCTCTCTTCTCCAGATTGTTTACCGGATGAGTTTGTGCCATACGTGGAATACAAACCTGCGTGTGATGCCTACCAGTGGATCGGTGCCGGTCGTGACTCCGATGCTCGTCTTCTATCCTTGTATCACTTTTGGATGGAAAGGCGGGAGAAATCCTCGGCACAATCAAATAACCTGGACGTGGAAAATGTCAAAGAAGTGAAAAGAGAGCCCTCGCCCCTACCTCCTCCCGCACGATGTCAAACATCATGGGTTGTCACACCAGCCACTCCTGAAGAGCGGGAATCCTTTAGAGAGCAGGTAAATTTTCTTCTGCTTCTTCTTCTTCTTCTTCTTCTTCTTCCTCTTCTACCTTCTGACTAGGGCTGTGACCCTGTTTGTCTAGCCTCTAAAATAGTATATAAATATGACAAATTAAATAAGATGGCGATGAGAGAGGATTAATTCTCCGGGGATGAAAGGCAGCTCTGTGCCCATCTCTTGAGTGGTCGTCCGGGTTGCCTTTGGCTATGAGGTCGTCCTACCATACATATCTTGGCAAGCCTTTCCCCGTCCATCCTCTCAACATATTCCAACCTCATTTTCTGGCGCATCTTGGTCCATTTGGCAATATCTTGAATTTGGCACTCTTCGCGGATTGACTCGTTGGTCTGCTTGTCTCGGAGCGTAAAGCCTGCTTTTTTCCTCAGGACTTTCATTCCTACGGTCCGAAACTGTTGTTTAGTGCGCTTCGTGTCTGCCCGGGTCTCCGCAGCGTAAGTCAGCACAGGTCTTACAATCGTTTTAAAAACTCTAACTTTGCTCTCTTTAGCCATGCACTCATTCCTCCAGACCATTTCATTTAGGCATCTGGCTATTCAGGCTATTCTAGTTGCCTTGATTGCCTGACTTCGCACCTCGGTCCCTAAATCCTTCACACTCGTTATTAAAGCGCCCAAGTACTTAAACTGCATTACTTGTTCAACTGCGGTACCATCCACTACTAACTTACATCGTATTTTCTTCAATGATTATTATGTAGAGTAATTATTATCATTATATCTGCTCCATTATTTTTAACTTTCATTTTATTAAAGTATTTTGAGAGGTAATTTCAATAGAGGGAAAACCAAAATCACGGATGAATAAGGCTCTCAAATTTTAAAAATGCTTCAAAAGTGGATTGTTTCAAGTTGTTATAGGCTCTTTTAAGCTGCCAAAGTAATGAAAAATTATGTGGCGGTTTAATCCTAGTTGTTATCATACAGCCATTCTAGTGACTGTGTGATTCTGATAGTAATAATAATTGTGTACCACACGCAAGAATGTAAATTAATTTCAAAATTGCAAAATTTCAATGCGCAGATTTTATTTTTATTGGGAATTTGTTTGACGTGTCTGATTGAAAATTCCACTAATTTTTCCTTGAATTGCCTGCCAATAAAACTAGCAAGATGTTGGACATAAATTGCACAGTCATGTTCATGTGTAAAAAATGTTTCAGTCAATTTTGAAACCCTGGGATGGAGTTACGTTCCTTCTCTTGGGAGACGACAATTTACTCAGGTATTATCAATCTAGTTTTATTACCTATGCGCACAATTTCCAACATTTTAATGAAAATGCTCTTGACCGAAGTTCTTTCTCTTTTGATTTTTTAGGAAAGAAGGCGCTTTGAACAACCTCACCGAGCATTCACTTACAGGATGCATGGGTATGAGGCCATTGTCGGTCCTGTGAGGGGGATGTACAATGCCGCTGCAGGTGGTAAATCACCCAGAGGGCATTCGCTATTAGTTCATGAACGGCCGAATTATGTTACCATTTTAACTTTAGGTAAGATGGGTATCAGCGTTGTAACAAGACAATACCAAATATTAGCATTTGAGGTTAAAGAAGTTTTTCTACAGAGAGCAAACTGAAATTCCTCATTGAGTTCCTGATGTTGCTTTTATGCTTTTTAACGAATCCATAAAACTTGTATTTCACTTCGTTGTGAACAGATCAAAACTCAAGTCTTTTTTCTGTAAAACAAGGATCCCACTTACAATGCGCTTTCTTCAAATGTGTTGCACCAACTTTGGGATTTAAGAAATCGGCATTTTAGGTGTGTGCAACATCAAACTTAATTTGGGTAGCATGTATATCAGGCCTGTTACATTGTATCTTCTAAGATATTTTCTCAGATGATTGTTTGGGTTAGCGGACTAAATTCCAAGAAACTGCTCTAAACCTTATACAAATGCTTTATTGGAATTCATTAAGATACATTCAAAGTCACTGTATGCTATGTAAAATCTCTTTCAGTCAAGTAAAATAAAATAAAATCGAGGAGTACCCACCTATTTACGGTTAGCAGAACGCTCTGGGTGATCCCTCAGTTAAATATAATTTCTTCTTACCTGAATATTTTAATCATATTGAACACTTGTTATATTTTGTTTGCTGAGCATCGTTTCTCTTGATAGCCGTTCGATGTTGTATAACCACGCTTATTTACTCAAATTTCTTAATTTTCTAAAGTGCTTACACTGTTTCTGCCCTTAGTTCGTGATGCTGTGGCCAGGCTTCCTAATGGCCAGGGAACACGGGCAGATATCTGCACACTGTTAAGGGATTCACAGTACTTGAACACGCAAGTCAAAGATACTGATGTTCAGAATGTTGTGAGTGGTGCTTTGGACAGGCTCCATGCGGAGTCCGACTCAAGTGTTAAGTACGATTCTACGAGGAAAAACTGGATTTATCTACATCGAGCTCGATCAGAAGCAGACTTTGGTGAGTCATGATGGTTTACTATGTTTTTGTTGATTGTAATGTTTGTTAGTCTGTTAGATTTCTCCTTGCTGAGAGTCAATTGATAATTTTACTGTTCTATATCAGGAGAAGGTGTTTATTTTAATGATCAGGTGCCTGATATCTCAGTTGTGCATCTTAAAAATTGTATCTTACTGCTTCCCTTTTTAATGTGTTGCGTTTGCATAGTCTGAATCTTCTGATGATAAAATAATGCTAAACAAGACAACAACAAAATAATTGCTATCCCATAATGGTCTACAAACTGTGTATTAACGGCGGAGCTTGTGTCTGGCTTAAGTTATTGTCAATGGTTGAAACCAGGATGGCATGAAAGAATAACAGCAACGTATCAACCACTATTTCCCTCTCTTGTGCTAAATTTTAACAAGTTCGGTGAAGAAATTCTCCGGTGTACTAATTTTCTGTATCTGATTCTAGAATTGGTTCACAAAGAAATGCAAGGCATGGCCAAAACAAAGGGTCCAAAGAAAATGCAAAGGGTGAAAAAAGATTCAGCAGCGAAAGAAGCAGGAGAAGGCAGTTCAACCACAACCGTTTTGGTATGTAATCAGAATATTAGTGCATGAGTAGTAAATTTTTTGTTACAAAAATTAATAATTTGGATAATTGGCTCCTTTAAATGGCGGTAACTTTGCTTGCTATCGCGACCACTCGCGCAAACCTCGAAGTGCTTTACGTAACCTCTCCAAGGACAGAAGGAGAGAATCAGGAGGCTGCATTGTGTTGAAGATGGGACCGATTATACTCAAAACCTGTCGACAGTTACTGACCTGATTTGCAGCAACTAATGTCTCACCGAACAGTATATCTCATTGAGGGAAAATTGTGCTCAAATGAGCTTTTTCTCTGTATACAGAGAATTGCTGCCTCATACAGAAATTTTACGCTCATTGGCAAAATCACCAACTTTCTTTCCAAACTTTTTGTCTAAATTTCTTTAAAAAAATATTGAAACAGCAAAAGGCTGATTTGGGTTAGAAATCGACACATAAATGAGTGAAATAACTTCCTTTGCGAATTGTAGTAATCCTTGGACAGAATATGCTATGTGTATTAGTGAGATAAACAAAAGACAAAGGAGCAGCCTGAAACATATGGAACAAGGCAAAAAACTGACGTCGGAACAAATGCAGGTCTTTTGATGTCTTACATTCCTGCGACATGAATATCAAATGCTAAAAGAAAAATGAATTAAAAGTAAAGTAAGAAAAATCCTACTATAAAATATGTAAGTATCCTAAAATATATTTTCCCATTCTAGTTTTAATTTATTTTTCTCTTAGCAGTTAACAAGGATCTTGTTAAACATTGAAACAATTTGCATTTGTTTCCGTGTCCGATTTTAGCCTTGTCTCTGCAATTTCTCCCTTTGTTTTTCAAAAGTATATCAGTGGTTTCTTATGGCATTACTTTACATTTTCTGACTTCATTTTTGGATCTTGGTGCCAATCTCTCCATCAAAAGATGACAAACAAAGGGTCTTTCCGTCTTGAAACTTTATGCCTTATGACTCGTCAATATCTTTTTTTAATTTTTCAGAGTTCTAAAAAAGCGGACTCAGTCGCCGATATTCCTTCAACTCCTGCGTCACCAAGTATGACAAAACCGAAGACTATCAAAACTTTAGTGCCAAATCAAAATGCGGTAAGGTTATACCGTTTTTTATTTTTCATACCAATAATGGTCTAATCTATAACTGTTCTGGTGCAAATGTGAATCTTAGAGATGATTCAAGACAGTTCTAAGGATCATAAAAAGTTTTATTTCATACTTGCTTTTTCTGAATGTTATTTATCTCTTTTCTTTTTAACGTTTTTAGTTCTGCCTTTTTGTATTGAAGCTCTATCATTCCATATTTTTTTTTTTTTTATTATTATTATTATTATTTTATTTTTCATCACTGCTTGTAACCAGTCTAATCAAAAATTGTATAATCATTACAGGTGGCCATTGTAGTATTTTTTCGTAATCTCCTAGACAAAGGAACGTATCTTGATCGTGCTGAAGTAGTATTTCTTACTGGCATTTTATTTTTTCATAGGAGAACCGTCACATGAAGTTGCCTGAAATTTCCAGTGATTATTCCCAATAGAGGGAGAAAAGACTCAAAAAATTTTCAGACCAAGTGCGATCGTTCTTTCATAAAAAAATGAAATTTTCGTAGAAATACTGGAACAGCACAAGCGAGATCCGTTGACTGTGTAGAATTCACAAGATATTAATTTTAAATCTTTATCAAGTTCATTGATTTTGTCCGTCTGGCATTGATTTAAGTTTCAAAAAGTCCAAAAGCTGTGGCATAAATTATTATTGATCCATTTGTCGTCTCCTGCTTATAAAAGCTAAGAAAATTGGATTGAATGTACTCTGTATCATAATTCTTACTGCCGTCTTACGGGAGAGAGCTGTAATTGCATTTCTGTGTGAGCCACGATTAGCACAAGCTTTTTTGTGTCTCGAGGCTCATCTCAGAATGCATTTGCACCTTACACGTAACACGACAGCATATCCGGACGGTTTCTTTTGGCTGTAATATTCACAGTTCTTTAAAAAAAATTGATTCTTATGCAACTGTTGCACCGTTCCCGAGAGAGCAGTGGAGAAAAGTATCACAAGAATTCAGTCAAAATCTCTAAAACAATTTTGAATTGGACTCTGAACATGTATCAATTTTTTCGCACCAAAATGGTGCGACAACATTGCCATTGTGTGCAAAGTTTTTGCTGTAAAATAGGCCGACTATCATTTGGTAACTCTGGTACAAAATATATTCCCTGGAAATTGCACAGTTCTTTGATCCTTATTTAATTTTGGTGACCTTGTTCAAATACAGATTGCTGCCGCTGCTGCTGCTGCTGCGTCAGTCGCCACAGCAGAGCCAACAGTGCCAAGCATACCTGCACAGTCGCGGCCAGTTACGGATCCTAAACCAGTCCTTGTGAAGAGAAGTTCTGTGCCAAAGAAACCAAAGCTCTCGCAAGGAGCCATCATGTCAAAACTGCTCAAGGAAAAATCCTTAAATCCTGTGCCTAAGCCACTCAGTAAAGCTAAGCTCAAAGCTCTGGAAGCAGCAGCTAAAATGGAAACGAAAAATTTCAATGCTGATGATAAATCTGTGGTCACTGAAGATGTGAAACCAGTGAAAAAAGTCAAAAGCACGGTAAATTTTATTTTTTATTGTATGTACTAGTGGTATTCTCATCAACACATTGCCTGCCACATCGGTCATATCAATCAGTATTGAAGGGTTCTGCAAGTGTCAGATCGGTTGTTTCAACCAGGATGTGATTGCTCTCTTTGTGTGAAGCCAGAGGTCTTCACAGCCGAGTTCCACAGAACCTTTAATTTTTTTTTTTTCCAAGGAGGTCATTACTATGCAGAAAAAAAAGCAAGTAACACCGATACTGAAAGAAACATTCTGTTTTGTAGACATTTTAAGGTTATAATTCAGGTTTTTTTATCTATTTTCCTCAAATAATTAAAATTAATCAGTAATTTAAGTAACCATTACTCTCTAATCAATTAAATTTTAAATCCTATTTACTGTGGAGGGGTTCTTCAATAAAAATGTAACCAAACAAAAAAACTGGTGGAAGACTTCACCACTACGTATTTCATTTTTGCCCATAGCATTTTCGATTTTATGATTACATATCACTTCCTCTGTCTGTAATATATGTAGTTCAGGTATCTTTCTATTATTTTGTGCATTTGACAAAAATGTTAATTTTCTCTGTCAGTTCTACGAAACCATTGAAAAATCAGAGGTAACCAAAAGCTGAAAAAAAGTGAGTCCCGCTTGCAGAGCTCATTACAGATAAGTTGACCTCATTCTAATCCTCAGTTGGTGCACTATCCATCTTAAATACATCTGAGCTGTTTCTGCATCAATATTCCAAAATTCGAAGTCTTAGGTTTTGTTATACCTGTAAAGACTGCTTCAACACCGATCTGCAGCTAGCGAAAGGAAGTTGATAAAAAATATGTGAAAATGTGAATTTAATTCAACAATATAATGGGCCTGTTGCAAACTTTTGCTAGAGCAGAATTAAGAGTTGTTTTCTATAGATAATGCCTCAAAAATCACGAAGAGCGCATCGGCAAAGTCTGAAATGCACTCATAAATTCACAATCTGCGTAAGAAATCCGCGTTTTTTTGAGCTTCCAGCTTCAAAAACGATACTACTGCACAGGTGAACATTTTGTTAGAGGAGTCATTTCATTGTCGGCAATATTCATCATGGCCGACACTTGTGCAGTTCCTGGCGTAATTCGTTGAAAATATGAACGTAAACACGCCGATTGTTATTTGGTTTAATCCTGTTCAGGTGTTATCTCGTCCCATCACTTGTGTTTTGGCGGATTGGCGTCGGCCATGATGAGTATTGCGGCCAATGGAATGACTCCTCTAACAAAATGTTCACCTGTGCCATAGTATCGTTTTTGAAGCGGGACGCTAAAAAAACTGCAAATTTCTTACGCAGATTGTGAAGTCATGAGTGCATTTCAGACTTTGCCCATGGGCTCATCGTGATTTTTGAGGCATTATCTATAAGAAACAACTCTTAGAATTGCTATTGCAAAAGTTTGCAACAGGCCCATTGTGTACTTGGCAGTAGATTGACTGATATTTTAATGTTGATAGTATCACAATACAGAAATACAGAAATCGGCAACGTGGAGAAAATGAGAGGGGAATACTTATCTGAAACAGGCTCCTCCCAATCATTCCTTGATTCACTCCTTTAGTATTTCATAGCTTTTGAATGACAGTTCAATCAATTTTTACTTTTTTAATTTACTAACTTGTATGCTTATAAATTGTTTTCAGCCTAATAAACCAAACTCAACACCGACTTCTGATTCGATGACAATTGTTGCGAACATTGTGAATAAGAAGCAAGAGGGTAGTGGGAACACTGTATTAAAAGTAACAAACCAAGGTGCTGGAGGTCGTACGGTGGTGGGTCAGACGTATGTAACCCCACAGCAGTTGATGCTCATTAAACAAGCGCATCTACTAAATAAACAACAACAGCAAGCAACGAGTGATGCTCAGAAACAGCCGCAAATGATTGTCATCAATCAACAACAAAAGGTAATGTTCCCTACATAACATACACAATCACAGCTATAATCTGCCTCAACATACTCTAATTGAAGTGCAAGTTCTATAACCCTCGTTTATTGTATAGAGATTAAGTATTATTATAATGAAGATTTGTACTACAGTGGAATCTTAAGTAGTCAATAGGTAAAGGATAAGAAAAGCCATTAGCTGTGATCAGTTTATTCAGTTAACACATTGCCGAAGCTTTTCGACCCCACTCGGTCATCTTCAGGCATTGTTTGTTTCATGCTTGTATATAGTTCTGCTCCCTGAAGATGACCAAGTGGGGTCGAAAAGCTTTGGCAATGTGTTAACTGAATAAACTGATCACAGCTAATGGCTATTCTTCTCCTTTACCTATTCATTATTCTTAGCTGTTAACCGCACGATGATGTTTAATTATCTTAAGTCGTCGGATTTTCAATAAGTTGGAAGTTTGGTTTTATTTTATTTTATTTTTACCAATGTTCAAATTGCCCTCAGGGCTAATCTTACGCTTTATCCCCTAGACTCCTTACACCCAACGTCAGGTGACCTTTGTCTGAAGCCATCAAATTCAGGTCACATGGTGAAAATCGAACCCAGGACCTCCTGATCTTAGAGCCAGCGCTACAACCACTACACCACAGGAAGTCAAATAAGTTAGAAATTCGAATAAGTTGGATTTTCTCTCCAGGCCCAATACTTTATCCATATAAACAATTCACCTGGTCTCAGGATAGGTCCGAATCTTGGATTTCGTCCAACCGTTTTTCTGACGGTATGTGACATCATGACCCGAGATGTATGACTATCCATTTTTTCCATCAGTTTTCTTGGCTTTGTTTCTGTCGATTACTATGGAAGGAGCCTGTACTAATTTGGGTTAGGGAGGGGAATATATAAGTGATAAACAGGATGATATCTGAAGAATGCGGGTATACATATGCTTTTGAAATATTTGGATGAATAGGTCCAAATTAGGAGGGTAAGACTTAACTATCCTTTTGAGACCTCATTTAAGTCTGGAGTTAGTTGATTTTCACCAAACTAAACTGCTTACAAGCCAAAAAATGAAATCAATTTTGTAAATTTTTCTTGCAGGTGCTAGCAGATCAGTTGTCGCTGAAGCATCAAAAACAGCTACAGCAATTGTTATTGAAGCAGCAACAGCAGCAGAAACAGCTGCAACAACAACAGCAACAACAACAGCAACAGTTACAGCAACAGCAACAAGAACAGCCGCAAATTCAACAACAGCAGCAGCAGCAGCAGCAAGGGCAACAGCAGCCGCATCAAGAACAACAGCAAACCAAGCAACCGCAACAAGCAAAACAACAACCAAAACAGCAGGTTCAGCAACAACTGAAACTGCAACAACAGCAACAACAACCAAAACAGCAGAAACAACCACAGCTACAGGTAGTCCAACAGGCTCAGCAGCCGGAAACTCAGGAGGCATCTGAGGCAAAGCCAGCACCTGAACCAAAACCACAAACGCAAACACAGCAAATCAACTTATCGTCACTACAGCCAGCTCAGATACAGCAGTTACTGCTAGCAAAGCAGCAGTTATTGGAGCAACAACAGAAGCAGGGAATTATCACAACAGGTAAGCCTTGTCTTGAGTTTTTTAACGTATTACCTCTCTGATCTGAAAAAGACAAAGTAATCGACTCGTGAAGGATTTTTTTTTGTTTTTGGTTTCAACTTTAAGGCTGTTGCACAATTTTTTTTTTAAAAAATTCATCTTTAGAAAGTACTTACAAGAAAAATGAGAATACAGGCATTTTCCTCTTTTTTCATTGAGTTCAGTAACAGCTGAGAAATAGACACTCAAAATCATAAAAAATGCACTCAAAACATGTATATGTATTTACATGATCAATTTTTTTGCATAGCGCATGCAAAACATTTATTGTGCTCCTAAAAAATAATGGTTGGCTATTGAAAATTGGGCTTTCCGACCTACGTTGCATCTAATATTTTAGGGGAAGGCAGAACACTGCAGAAAATACGGAGAACTGCAGCCTTTTTAAGTTATGACAGTCAAAAATTTTTAATTATGATTGCGTGGATTTTGTCCTCTTTGTCCCTGTGTTGGCTTAGGAAGAATTCGATGAAATCACATGGAATTTCTACTTTTAAAAATGCTCTCGATTTCGGTCTCAACTTCAAATTTTTTTTTTGTTTGAAAGCTAACTTGTATTTTTAATGAACTTTTCCCCCTTGTTTTTAGAACCCCTGTACAGAACCCCCTAAGTTTAGAAGAAAGAAATATTGCCCTAAAAATGACCCATCGCAAGAGTTTAAATCAGACAAATCCCCAAAAATTATCGGTAAGTTTATTTTTGTATGAATGGGTGCGATTAATCAAAAAATTTGTGAATCCATAGCTGGTGGCAAACAAATGATAGTCCTGAAGCAAGGGCAACAGCTAATCACAGCTGATGGCAAGACAATCCAACAGCAGCAGCCAATGCAGCAAATGATAATCGTGAAAGGTTCATCACCGGATAAAACGCAAACAACAACAACAATCAGTCAGCAGCAACTGCAGCAATTACTCCTCAAACAACAACAGCAGCAGCAGCAACAACAGCAACAGCAGAGCGAGGGTAAAACATCAATAACAACCACTGTCAGCCAGGCGCAGTTGCAGCAACTTCTAGCAAAGGTACACCTAGACTTTAATAAGACAAGAAAAAAATACTGTGAACTCAAGCTACCTCTTACTTTCAAAATGAAGTAATTAGAATGTCCACGGAAAACCAAAAATAAGAATCTGTCTTTGAGATAGATCTAGAAACACCTTAAAAGTACAGATTTTTTTGTTAAATTCTGCAGAAAATTTGGAAATTTTCAGAGTTTTTTTTTTTTTTTTAGGAAAAACGTGATAGCAAGCACAGAATTGGGCCGAAGAGGCGTCAATAGACACGCTGAGCAATGAAAAAAATGAGCTAAATAGATTAAATATTAGAGTTTTTTCTTTTCTTTTCTTTTTTGCTTTGATGCTTTCTATGTTGATTTGTATTAATTTTGTTGTTTGTGTACAGCAGCAGTTCATGGTACTCAAACAGCAAGGGAAACAAGGGCAAGGGCAGATAAAATTAGTCCCATCAGGCACAACGGTGTCTGGTCAACCTCAAATTAAGCTGACGCAGACAATATCCACAGCTCAGTTGCAGAAAATGCAGCCTAGGATAATCTCAACGCAGAAACCTCTGACACCTGGTAAGCTCTTTGTATTTCAATTCCTGTGGTAATCATTCTAAATAATTGCTGATTCATGCTATGGTTCATGTGAAAATGATGTAATCCAGCCAACTATCAACATAACAATGTAACAGGAGAAACTGTAAGAAATGAAAATAAAACCAAAACTAAACAATAAAATGCCTCCATTTAAGCCTACAGTAAATAATCGATTCTTGTCCCAGCAACTGGTCCCTCCAAGAATTGATACTTTTCCATAGGTTTGGGTTTAGGAACAACAATATTGACAATTTGCTGGATCAGCCAATGATTCAAGGCAAATTTTGACTTAGTAACATACGAATATACGAATATAATGTAATCTCAATCGCAAACGAATATCAAGGAATTGTAACAAAACGTGCTTACTGTCAAATCAAGAGACTGTAGAGAAAAAGGCCGCAATGGAATAGCAAAATATTTGCGTCAAGAATTTCCCACTTAAATGTGATCAGCGATCATTTTAATGCAGTTGTTAAATCTAGTTGAAAAAACCGAAACAAAAAGAATTGACAATTCTTTCACTACTTTAATATAAAAATTATTCTAATAGAAGGGTATCCAATCCTAGTTTTTAAATTGTTACATACATTTTTCTTCGTAAAATTTCTTAAAATTCTCACCTATTTAAATGTTATCAATGTGTTGAAGTGTTATTTAATGAGTCTCTCAAGAAGACTTAGCTGTATTATGGGGAGTTCAGATAATAATCTGTTCTTTTCTTTTGACCAGTGTCCACGACTGTCCAAGCCATAAGCTCAACAAGCAGTCCTCTAGCAAGTGGTACGAACATCATCAAACCAGTTCAGTCTGTCATGACGAAGGTTGTCTCCAACGCTCAAACAGAATCGGTCGTAACAGTGGGAAATCTCCTGGCGAACCAAAAGCAGCAGACTGTGATATCTTCCGGTAAGTTTAATATTAGGTTACCAGTTTAGCGACAGTGTCCGATACTCTTGTCGCAAAATTTTGTTTTGATGATTGAATCTTATAGATTCTTTTGAAATGGCGAAATCTATCAAAGCCAATTATTCTCTGTCCAAAATTAAGAGAGAAATTAAGGGGCTTGGAAGACCAGTAAAATTAGTGACGTTTTTGAAAAAAATTGAGATATTGATGATTTTAAGTAGAAGCAGTCTTAAAATATATTCTAAAAAAATCCCCTATTAAAATCGAAATTTTAAGCCTCAAAAAGTGATTTTTAACTTTCTTTCTACCACAAGGCTCCATGTGATTTTGAAACTTAAACTATGTGTTTCTCGAAAAAGCAAAAATTGCACTTATCCCCCTTGTAAGGCTTTTGTCGATTTTCTTTTGAAAAAAATTGTGAACGAAAGAATCCATTAGAGCAATGGATAATGGTTTCTCCCGCCTTAATTTTATTACAAAGGTGCGAGGTAGCTATTAATGTCAATGTTTGCATCAGAGAACAAAGAATCTAATATGGAAGAAACTAATAGCATCATGTTCCTCACAAAGCAATTTCCTGTACAGTATTTAACCAAGAAACTCGATAGTTAGATGAATGTCAAATTATGACATTCAATGAAAAAACATTGCATGTGTAGCAAACTTCAGTCAGGACAAATAAAAGAGTTGTTTTTCAAAGAAGGTGGCCCAGAAGTTACGATAAGCGCATTCTCATATTCTTAGTTTTATCCCTACCTCACAATTTGCTGAAGAAAGTTGCATGTCATTCACCTGGCAGCTTCATTAAGCAAGTTTTTTTGGGAAGCTGAAATTTTGGGAAAAGATGCTGCTTGGTATACTCTTTAATTACAACAGAAATCATGTAAATGTAGAATAGAAAAAGGGGAGGTCCTTTTTGCATCAATCTCTTTCTCCGGAATTGAAGCCAATGTCTTAGAAGGGTTAAAGGGGCTACAAACTTTTTTGGCTTCGCCTGTCTATGTGAGTATGATTTAAGCACAGTAGATCATTCTCATTTAATTTGTGTCAATCTGGTTTATAATTTTTTCCTCCTCTTTTCTTAATCCCATTATTGCTCTAATTATGTCTCTACGGAATTTTTTAATTTTGCAGATGGAAGTATACGTGTAGCAGACAAACCAAGTATAGGTTCTCATCAGTATACAGTTGTGTCGATGGGAGAGGGTCAGTCAAGGGTCATTCAATCAACTCAGTTGGTTCAGGTAAGTTGTCATTGTTGTAGATTCATGAGTCAAAAGAAAATTATCTGTCATAACACCGTAAAAATTAGTCAGCTGAAAAAAATAGCGCACAATATTTGCATCTTATCTGTAAAATGAAGTTGAGGATCATGCAGCCTCCATTTGGCATGCCTTAGGCGGGCATTAAAGGCATATCCTCATTAACCCATTGACTTAAACCGACGGCTCCCAACCGCCCGCGCGGCGCTGGGCCAGACCTGAAGAGACGGCTCAGAGCCGTCCGTCGATTGTTTGCGTTATTTCGCCGATTCTCCGGTAGATTGCGTTCTCATCAACGCTTATATGAGTAGTGTGGCCACCCTATGACTTATTGTGTACAGTAATTTCTTGTTTTGTCTCGGTATTTTCACATGACTGTGCGTTTGAACATGGAATAACCTCAAAATTTTCTGATTTTCGCTGATTTTGCGACTTGCGCGACTTTGACAGCTATAAACCACAATAAAAAACCATCGTGTTCAAAGTGTTCGCCATTTTCTCAAACATTGTATTGTGAATGCTTATTGTGTCAATTTTCATCCTTAGAGAAAGAATTTCTGGATTATTTTGAAGTGTTCAAAGTTATTGATTTTTGCCAAATTAAATCGTAATTCCTCGCCCGGCAGGGTCAAATTAAATCATAAGTCAATGGGTTAAGTATTTAAACAAGAGTTGTCCCACAGAGCAATAAAGAAAGAATTAAAGAAAGATAATTATTTAATGCTACCGAAAGAAGAATAATCATACTGAGTTAAGATTAATTTCAGTCTACCAATTTTGAAAATTTGATTTCAATATTTCACTCATGTTATTTCAGGCAAGTACAAATCTGACAAATGCACGGAACATTGCGACGAAAACAGCAAATTTGCGGGTTCTGCAAAGTCCGACAAGTATCAACCTTGCTCAGCTCGCTGGGAAACCTGTCATTCTTTCCCAGAAAACTCAAGGCATCCAAGGCCAGGTCAGTAATTAGCCCAACTACTTTCTCAAAACCTAAAAGTAAGTTTACTGCTGATGTGTTAAGCGGAGTTAATTCCATGTAACATCCATGCCAACAGCTCTTTTCAGGGATGCAGAAAGTTTCAAGCCTGCCGTTGAAGGAAAAAGGACCCAAGAAATTGGACTTTTCCGATGCTGAAAGTTTGTTAAAGAGGGTTGCCACAGTCTAAAAATACCGGGAAAACTAGGAAATGTCAGCGAATTTTAAAAAGTCAGAGAAAACTTGGAAATGTCAGGGAAAATTATGAAAGCGTTCAGGAAAAATTGGTAATTCACCTTTCTTTCCTTTCAAGAATGGGTTTGACGTCTGGAACAACAAATTTTGCATGAAAACTTTCTGGGAATTTTACTCAAATGCGTCAGGAAAATCAGAAAAATGTCAGGGAATTTCATTTTCTAAATTTTGTGGCAACCCTGGCAAAATGAAAATATCAGGAATATCTAACAGTCTTCCAGTTTTTCCTTGTGGCCAGGAGCATCACAAGGTCTGGAAGGTTCTATCCTTTGTTTTTGCTATTAGCCCACATGGCTCATCTCTAATTTCCTTTGTTCCTGTGTCAACAGAACATGGTCATAGCTAGCAGTAGCGCAAATACAAGTGGACAGCAAACTATTCTGCTACCACAAAGTATTAAGCAGCCAAGCGGTAGTAACACAGTGACAGTTTTGCAGTCCGGAGGTGTGCCACAACAAATATTGTTGCCAGCAGGTTTTCAAGGAGGTACCCTAAATATCAAAGCTCTTCAAGGTCTCAAAGTGATTCCTGTGGCCCAGTCTACCCAAGTACAAAAAGGTAAAGAGTTTTCTTCCATTTTTCATTTATCCCGAAATCTGTTGAAGGTAATAAATTTCCAACAAACTGACATTTGATCTTGATGTTAACTGACATCAAACCAATATCAGAAAATCAACAACTAACTAAAAGTTGTTGTTTCCTAACTTCAGGGTGTAAAATCTTTTTAACCTGGCTTTAGAATTTTTTCGAGTGTTGATCAAAGTTTCCCTGGGTGTTTTCCAGGTAGGATTAGCTGCGTATGTAAACGATTTTAGGCAATGTGTCAATAAGTTTCCCACCATGCTTGTGATCCTAGAAAGCAACTGTTTTTTGTTGAAGAATGGAGTAGGTGGTTATCTCCTAGCAGTGAACTGTAGGAATGGCAAGGAGAACCTGAAATGATACAATGCAAATCTTAAAAGATCTTATTTAATTCTCGTATCGGCTGCTTTTAAGTATAACTGAACCTACGCTGTTTGATTTTTAATTCATATCTGATTGAAAATTTGTGTAAGAAGTGTAAAACTTTGCACTAAGATACTTCAAGGTTTGAGAATTAAAGAAAAGAGTCATCTATAAAAATGGCGATTGTCAACACCTGTCGCTGTCTTAAATAAGGCCTCATATCGATGGTTAAAGTGCAAAACTATTGTGGTGTATCAAAATTTTTGCTTTTATTTTATTTCTTGAAGAGAAATAAGCCAACTCTATGGCTAGAAATTTATACAGATTATTTTGCTAACAAAGAGAGGAAAAAAAATCAAGAAAGTTGTTAAGAAATTATGTTGACTAGCTTTCTAAAGAAACAATAAAAGTATGACAGGAAGTATGAAATGTTGCAAAGGTAGGCATGTGAATCTTTTTTCTAAACTTTCAATACAGATAAACTTCTTACGTACTTCTTTTGTTATGAACATTACGTCTTACGCACCTGTAGCTACATTTTTGTAAAAAGTTACTGTTTGTGAAGTTTTGAAGAAGAAAGAAAAAACATTCTGTTCTAAACTTAGTTCTGATTTCTTTACCAGGTCAACGCCAAATGTTCGCTCGAATAATTAGTCCAGACAGCACGACCAAAATCATCCCGGAGCAGACGAACCTTAACAACTCCCAAGTTGCTGAACAGAGTGAGTGAGAGATGCCTCTCCATGTTTCACTCTAATTTGTAATTTTGATGGATCTGCGTATCTATGGTCAGCATGCATGGTCAAAGAAAGTCATTAGCCATCATGGCCGTATCCTAGTACTGCTTTCTCAATTAGCTCCAAAAGGATGCTGTTTTCACTCTATTTTGTGGTGTAGATTCTAATCAAGCTTGTGTTGCATACTGAAATGCTCTGCACAAGTCAAACATCCTCTATCAGCAAATTTGAGTATTTTCTTTTTTTTTTTTTTTTTTTGCTTCTTGCGTTAACTTGGTTACAATATAAATAATCACCTTTTTTGTACTTAAATTAGGTGATCATGCCGTAGTATAACACTTGAAATGCCTTGTACATTCTCAGTTCATACATATTAATCAGAGTGATTTATATTGTTGCCTAGTTGACTCTGTCCACTAAACTGTTTTACCCTAGCAAGGATCATTTAAGATCAGTATTCTCTTAGAGTTTGTGCGGTTAAAATTATGAGCCGATACTCTGAAAGGGGAAATGTACTTAGTTACAACAGGCTGCTTGCTATATTTGGAATACTAGATCGTTTTGAGACTTTTTATTATAATTGAAAAATGTTTTGGCAGAGAAAAAGCTTTTCTCTAATACAACATTATTAATAATTCAAGCATCCAACATTTGCATGTGTGCCCCTTTTCTCTCATGCTGTAAATGCGGGCTGCTAAATATAAGCTACACAGATTGAGAGTTTACTTATTTGAGATTTTTGCAGAAGAGACATCTCTTAAGTATCCTCAAAATATGTGTTTCCAAAGTCAGAAGTTTACTTTCTAGGCATCTAGGTTGTGCCATAAATAGATCAACAAAACTTGACGAATTTTTAGAAACGAAAAGGAACTTAAATATTTTTGATTGTGAAATCTCTTTTAGGGATTCAAAAGAATGTTTTCTTTGCATCATTTATAGCAAAAATTTAAAAAATTTCTGACCAATTATACACGCCTCTTGTTAAGGCTTTATCAGTAATTTTTTTCTTTTTGAACTGTATCAACATTTTTTTCACATATCATCAGAGGAACTGAAAAACTGTGACCTTCCTAGTTATTTCTGTCTTATTTTATTTAACGTAAAAGAAACCTTATTGTCCTTAATTGTTTTAAACTTAATGTTTAAATTCTGCATTATTTTTCTTTTCCCAGTTTCTTTTAGAAATGAAATAAGAGAGGAAATTTGGAAACATAGCAATTTAAGCACTTCGTTTTTTTGTCTCATCATTGATGTGTATTCTCTTCTCAGGTAACTAGCAGGAAAAAATGAAATACGCAACGAATACTGAGGGGCGTTACATAATTTCAACAGATATTAGATAGCACCACTGCCAAATCCTCCAAAATATCAGTTGCTTTCCATGCTACACAGTGGCATATTCGTGTAAACATTGTAATATAACTCTGACTCAGGGGTAAGTTTTAATAAATGAAAGGTGGCAATATTGTAACAGAGAACATGTACCTAATTTGCCATTTTAGTTGTGCTGGTGAATTGTATTCACTTTCTGACCTCTCATTACTGCTCCTAAAAGAAATGGTCTGTGACCATAAGATGAAGTAGAAATGCAAGGACAGTTGAAATAGTATAACTATTTGTTTGAACTATGGGAAAATGAATATTTTAAACTTTCTGTAGTGAATTGTACAATGGGCCTGTTGCATGCAAGCGATACAGCCGCGCGAATAGACTTTTTAGAGGTTAAATGACACGAAAATTACGATGGTCACATTAAAAAAGTCTGAAATACACTCCTTACTGCGCAATTTGCGTTGTTAGGAACGCGCTTTTTCAAATTTCCCGCGTCTGGGGGCAGTTTTCTAATCACCAGAAACGAGCAAACGGCGGGCTCGGTGATTTCCGGAAGATGCCGAGTCGTTGTTGTTGTTGTTGTTATTTTTTCCTTAAGTTTGTTTACAAACCCAACGTGATCTCCTATAGTGGTCCATGTACGCTTTATGCGGTAACCAAATCGATCAACTTTTAAATATCCAACGCAATTCTTCTACATTTAATTTCACGATGTCACGAGCTCCGATTTTTAGGTTATGTTGTCAGTTTTAGTTGACCGGAAATAGCCGCGAGTTGCCGTTAATTGTTTCCGTTAGAAAACTGCCCCCAGACGCGGAAAATTTGAAAAAGCGCGTTCCTAAAAACACAAATTGCGCAGTAAGGAGTGTATTTCAGACTTTTTTAATGTGACCATCGTAATTTTCGTGTCATTTAACGTCTAAAAAGTCTATTCGCACGGCTGTATCTCTTGCATGCAACAGGCCCATTCTCTTAATTCAAATGTTGAATGTTTGCCGCTCCAGCCATGTACATCTCCTTGTACTGCCATGCCACGGAAAAACGCTTTTAGAGTTGCCAGAGAGCGCTCAGACATTGCCAAATTTCCTTTGATAAAATACGAATTTTTAGCAAAATCTGAGAATATTTTTCCTCCAATTTTTCACAAAGTTTTATTCTCTTTCAGATTTAAATTAATTGTAAACTGCAAAAGAAAATACTGACAGCTTTCTTTTAAAATGGAAATTTTACTGGAGGAAATTTGGCAACTCTCGATTGTTCATACGGCGTTTTTCCTCAGCACAGCAGTGTAAAAGGAACTAGGTATGTTGGTAAGAATGAGATGAAGACAATTATAATGTGATATTTTGAGGGTTTTCCTCTCCAAGTGCAATGAATGAAATGTGTGTATAATTTATTTGTTCGAAGGTTGTTTGTTTCGTACTCTTGAATTTGTGTGATTTCCTTTTGTTTCCCTCTTCTTTTTCCTTCCCCGACTAGTGAAGTTACTTTCGATAAAATTAATGTTAAAGGAAGACTGAATTTTTAATATTCATCAAATCTTAAATCTTTCATGTAAAGTGGTTGTTTCTCTTGTATTTATATTTTCAAATGCTGTCGGTATCATGTAAGATGAGCATCTCAGTCGTGTTAAAAGAGCCTAGAGAAGTTTTTCTCTATGCGTTGTGAGTGTCCTCTTAATATGTTGAAAAAATTCTGCCCTAAGACCGAAGCACATTTTCTTGATAGTGCTGAAAGAGTTATACTGAAACTGGCTAAAAAATTACCTACTTTAAAGCGCCAATTTCATAATATCTTTAGAAAGTAACAAAAATGAAGAAAACATTTTCAAATAATTTACATTAAGGAGCATAAGTCAGGTTCATATTGTCAAAATGTGGATGATACAAATGAAAAAGAATTATAAATACTCCTATCAATGAGAAATTGGTCTGTTGCACGCAAGAGATACAGCAAAGTCAATACAGATGCTTTACAAATGAAATAGCATGAAAATCGCGTTAGAGTTATCAGAAAAGTCTGATACTCTTTCTTCAGCGTACAATCTGTGTAGTTTGTAACATACATACATAAAGTCGCTTTTATAGCGCCGCCTCGTGTTCTGCGACGCCCAATCGCCATTGCCCCCTGTCCTCCCAGATATCATCAGGCAATTGGCACCTTCTGATCTCCTCCTCCACCCCTTGTCGCCAACCTTTCACAGGACGTCCACGCCGTCGCCTTCCAGGAGGAACCCAATCGAAGACCTGCTTGGGCAACCGATCACCTGCCATCCTTCGCACATGTCCATACCAGACCAACTGCTTGGACCTGATATCGTGCACGATGTCCTTCTCCACACCCATTATCTTGCGCACCTTCTCATTGCGGATATGCTATCTTCTCGATATCCCAGCAGACCTTCGCCAAAAGTCCATCTCAGTTGCCCTAAGCATGCAGTTGCATGTAGTTTGTAACATGCTTTTTCAAATTTACTGCAGCTGCGGGCAGTTCTTCTCAGTGGCCGGTAGGCCAGCAGTCAAGTTTGCTTGCAGAGATATCAAGAATACCTCACCTATGCAAACAAACAATCTCACAAACTGTTAAAAACTTCCCTGATGTAAGATTTCAATTGATTCAAAGCTTTTGTTTGTGCAAAACGAAAAAAGGGAACGAACAGACACTGAAAAACAATTATAATCATACTCTAGCAAAAGTTTGCGAAATTGTTTGTTTATTCAGGTCGGATCTTCATATTATGTGTCCATCTTGATTTTTGTGCGATTTGACCCATAAATATATTTACTTGACTACATATATCTCTTGCATGCAATGGACTCATTGAAAGCGATCAAACAGACTGCTTCATCATTAATAGGGGTTCTTTTGCTGTGTGAGGGAGGCAAATGACCAAAAGCCGTATTTTTGTAATTAAAATGAAATTTTTTTATCATAATGATTGAAATGCAAAGTGATTCACAGGCTCAACAAATTTTGCAAGTTTTGATACTAAGTTCTAGCTTGCATAGCCATTTGTGTATAATTTTGTTCAGACCTTCCTGAATGCGTGTAAAAAAATCCTCTGAAATCTTTCATGCCTTTGGAAAGGATTGCATTTTACATGTAGGAAATTTTCCAACTCTAGCATGAAATTTTCTTCTCACACGTTTCATTAGTGCATCCTCTACTGTGTAAAGCCTAAAATGTAAAAATTCTAGATTGGTATACGGACAGCCAAAGTGTGAAACCATGTATCTAGGTTTGCGACATTGCAGACTTCCTGTCATTCTTTATTTTCTCTTTTGAAAACCAGGGAACACAATTTCTTTAAGACTTCCGTAATTTTTCCTCTCTGTAAGTAAGAAGGATATTCTGTATTTTCAAGCTCTGAAGTTGGCTTGTCTCTCTAAACAAAAAATAAAATAGGAGTGAAAATTTTGAAACACCGCAATGGATATGCGTGGTTGCACACTCTGGCCATTCGTGGCATTCTGTAAAATTGTTTCTTTCTTAGCCTCAAGCACTCTTATAAAGAAAACAATCTACGCTCATACAAACCACTTGCGAAGCAATGTCATTTTTGCAAATGTTCTTTTTTAATGAATACTCGAAGTATTAGATTTTTATTTCAAAACTTCTGTCCCTGTTTTCTGTAAGTCCATGTTCTAGCTTATTTATTTCATGAATATTGGGATCATTGTATCTCCAAAAAATTTCTACTTATCGAATTAGGAGAGTTTGAAACTCATTTTGTATGATTTTGCATCAGCAGTCACTCTTTGCAATTAGTTAAAATTAAAGTTTGTATATTTGTAAAAATAAAATAATGATGTCAATAGGAAGTAGCCTTTGTGTAAAAGATATCTGTTTTTATCGTAAAATATGAGATTGTACATATTTTGGAGCCATGAGGAAACTTCCAAGAAAATTACCCTTCCTCTTACCTCTCAATTTTTAAAGATGTTTTTTGCGATACCCCTGCAAGGTAATGAATTAATGTATAGCTAATTCTATTAACTTTAAGATCCCTCTCAGATAATAAGATTGACTCTTAAATTGTTATTTTTATTCAAAAGTCAAATTGAAACATAATAAAAAATCAATCAAGAAAATTTTGTACAGAATGTGATATGAGTTTCTCATTGAAACAAAATTTTAATTGTGAATAAAAAATTGTTTTTGTTTTACGAATTTGTGGTTATGTATTTTAAAATTACCATTTCCTTTGGTCAGAGGAAGACAATTTTCGACAACGCAACTATTTTCTTATCAGGTTCAAAAATCTTATTTTAAGGGAGTCACCGCCGTTTAGAAGTGACCATTCGGAAAGCATAACAGGGTTATAGGACATTTCGTCAATGACTTTTTGTCCTGGCACCTGTTTTTCCTAGTTGTTCACGTCCACGCGTTTTTTTGGGCAGGGGAGTTTTGGTCCACCGACTAATTGAGACCCAAAGTTAATCGGTCCACATGTAAATACAAACGATAATTTCTCACGACGTTTTTGGATGAAAATTTAAAATGTCTTGAAAGAATAAGGGTTTACTTAATTTCTTTATTCGTTTGGTCGGAGACTGAGGAAAATATATAATTGAGATGTTTAGTAAAAATGGGGGGGGAGCGGCAATTCCACGAGGAGAAATTCATATCGCGCAACATCGCGTTCGATAAAATCGAAATTTTATCTCAAATTACCACGATTTTTTGTTTAATAATATTGCGATTAATCGCCGTCGATAAAATAAATATTTTATTGCTTTGTCATGGAATCGCAATTCACTGCCATTTTTTATCCGATAATACCTATTGCAATAAATCGACGTCGATAAAATCGCGATACGTTCTCCGATCAAATCGCAACGTGTCGTGATTGCCGATAGAATCGCAATTTAATTGCTTTCCGTGAAATTCTGCGATGAAATCGTAATTTATCGAGATTTTTTATCCGATATTATTGCGATAAATCCCCGTCGATAAAATCGTGATCTCATTGCTACGCATGAAATTCTGTGATGAAATCGCAATTTTTTATCCGATGATACTGCAATAATTCGACGTCGATAAAATTGCGATACGTTCTCCAATCAAATCGCAACGTGTCGCGATTGCCAACAGAATCGCGATTTTATTGCTTTCCGTGAAATTCTGCGATGAAATCGTAATTTATCGAGATTTTTTATCCGATATTATTGCGATAAATCCCCGTCGATAAAATCGTGATTTCATTGCTACGCATGAAATTCCGTGATGAAATCGCAATTTTTTATCCGGTGATACTGGAATAAATCGACGTCGATAAAATTGACGATACATTATCCGATCAAATCGCAACAGTGGCGTGGCGTGCTTTGCGATAAATCGATTGTTATGCCATTTAAACCTATGGAAAAGGATCGATAAATAGGGTGTTCGCAGCGAACACCTTAATAATCGATTCTTTACCATAGGTTTAAATGGCATAACGATCTATAGATCGCAATTCACGCCACGCCACTAAATCGCAACTAATCGCGATCTTTGCTACTCGGGTAGTGGCCCATCGACCCACACATACACGGTCCAAAACACCACAATCCTAGGTCAGGAAACAGCCTCCGCGGGTAAAGTCGACTCCTCGCCGTTCGAGCGTTTCTCCTTCGGCATGAAACCCTGCTCGATCTCGTAGAGGGTCTTGTTCAACGTCTCAGGCAGGAGGAAGATCCCCAGAAGCGCGGTCAGGAACGAAGCTATCGCGAAGCCGAACAGAAGCCCCCAGATATTGAGCAGCGCCAAACAGTCCTCGTAGATCTTGATGAACACGAACATGGACCCGGCGCCGACCCCGAACACCGCCCCGGACATGGCCCCGCGGACCCGGAGCGGAAACACCTCCCCGGACATCATCCACGGCAGCGTAGTCACCCCGATGATCCCGAAGACGATGTACGCGACGAGGAGGATGATGGGCAGCCACTGGTAGGGCCGCTCACTCGCCGGCGCGTCGCGGAAGACGAACTCGTAGACACCCGCCGCGCCGGAAGAAACGGTCATCAGAAGCGCGGATAAGATAGTCGAGAACCTCCGGCTCACGTAGGAGGTGAAGTACATCCCGATCGTACAGTTGGAGATCACCCTGACCACGGAGATGACGATGGAGACGGTGAGAGGATCGTAGGTCGTCCCGAGTCGGGTCACGAAATCCAGGGTGTAGTAGACGATGTGGTAGATCCCGGTGGCGCACTGGACGAGGTGGAAGAGGGAGAGGATGAGGAAGGGTTTCCAGACTGTGGGGTCGAGGAATATCCCGAGGTGGAAGCTCTCGGACTCCTCGCTGGACGCGAGTTTGAGGAGTTGGAGTTCGTGGTCGATGCCCGACGGGGAGCGACCCAGTTTGCGGAGGCTCCAGGCGGCGGCGTCGATCCGGCCGCGCTTGAAGAGCCACGCCGGGGACTCCGGGGCCAGGAGCTGGACGACGAAGTAGACGAAGCTGCTGAGGGCGAAGATGGCCGAGGCGATGTTCCAGGGGAGGTAGCCGCCGATGACGTAGGCCACGACGACGCCCAGAGTGAAGGCAGGGGAGATCGTCGATAGGAGGAAACTGCGCTGCCGCTTGGCGCAGGTCTCCGTCATGTAGACCACGGACACGACCTCCAGACCTGTGAGAGAAACGTGATAGAGTCGGACGGAAAGAATGGAGAGGGAACATTGGGTTGGATTACACCGAAAAAAAAAAGTGGAGTTGATGTAACATTTTGGATGTAAAGAAAAAGAGCGAGAACTTATGAAATGCTGAATTGCCCGCCACAGCAGTTGGTTTTACATTTTGGCATTTCTTGAGTAACTGCTCTAGCAGGCAATTCAGCATTTTATAAGTTATCGCACACTTTTTTCACACCCAGAATGTGAAATCAACTTTACTTTTTTCCGGTGTAAAAATAATAGATTCTCGTTTTCTTAATACTGAATGAGCTTTCAAAAACTAGTGCAGTCCTACTTTAAAAGATAAGTACAATTATTGAAATCGGTATGTTTTAAATCTTGAAACTGTGTCGTGAAATTTTATCAGCGTATTTTTTTAACCCTTATAAGCCCAATTCATACCTACCATCGAACTTTTCATCCGACATGATTGAACGAGAAGTTGGATGGAAAGTCGGACGCGAAATCTGTGCAGGGTAAGTTTGACCGGACATAAAGGTGGACTCTCTTCATAGAGAAGTCAATTTCCTCCATTACGGCCCTAACTTCCACTTTCCTTTTTTTTTTTTTTTTTTGAGTTAGTGTTAGAGGAAACTATTGTGTTCCTCACGAAATGGGTCAGTTGTACGCAGGAGATACAACTGAATACATTTCACGAGGGTAAATTCGCTCAAAAATCACGTTAGACACATCGAAAAAATCTGAAATCCGCTCCTCGGCGCGCAATCTGCGTAGTTTGTAACACGCTTTTCCAATTTCCCGCGTCTGCGGGCAGTTTTTCTCAGTCACCGCCGACCAGGTTTGCATAGGCAGAGGGGTAAGAATGGACTAATCAAAGTAAAAAAACGATTAACTAACTTTCTTATTGTATGATTTCATTCGATTTCAAGCGTTTGTTTCCTTTTCTCTCTTTATTTTGCAAAAACCAAAGCTTTGAATCAGTTGGAAACATTCCGCAAGGAGAGTTTATAACAATTTGCGGGACTGTTTGTTTAACTAGGTACCTAAGGGCTCTCTCTGGGCAAACCTGACTGTCGGTCACCAAGAAAGACTTCCCGCTTAGCGGTAAATTAGAAAAAGCGTGTTACAAACTACGCAGATTGCGCGTTGAGGAGTGGATTTCAGACTTTTTTAATTTTCCCAACGTGATTTTTGAGCGAATTTTCCTTTATAAAGTGTAGCTGGTTGTATCTCTTGCTTGCAGCAGACCCATTCAACATTGAAAAAATGACTTGAATAGCAAAACTCCCCTAGTAGCAGAACCATCCCTGGTAAAAATTGGCGATAGGAGCTGCGTTTCAAAATACCATAGGAGTTCTTATAGCCGACTGAAGAAGGCTACAGAAAAGCATATAGCTGGCTGTAGAAAGTGGAAAAAATTATACGGCCGGGCTACACGAAGCGATAAAAAATTATACAGCCGAGCTACAGTTCCTATCGCCGGGCTTTAGACTTTATCGCCTGGCTGTTGCTTTTTCGCCATCGGCTATAAAAGGCTAAAAGAAATTGTGTAGAAATTCGTGTGCTTTGTAAATCCTTAAGTTTGTACGGAATCACTTTAATATTTACAAAACGCACATTATATTTTCCTTTACTACATTTTTTTTTTTCATCAATTAAAATGAGAATAATCCATACAGAGTGTGCAAACATTTCAAAGTCATGAGTTGAAAGACGCATGACTCCACGAGATTAAATATTAGAGCCTAACACAAAGCGGAGTGGCGGCGCACTGGCGCCTACAAACCTAACAGGGATACTTCACGCATTGCGCAATGCGTGAAGTATCCCTGTTAGGTTTGTGGGCGTCAATGCGCGTTTCGCACTGGCTGCCCGCCCGCCCCGCCGCGCCGCAGCGTACCACGGCGCTTGAATCAACTATTTCACACCAGAGGTATTGCACAGTATCATAAGAAATTGAAGGCACTCCAACATATTAGGAATGACAGGCATCCTTCAAAAGAACGGAGCTTTCCTCACAAATTAAATCAAGATACTACGGCCCAAAAAGAGAGCGGTAGTCCATAAACTCATTAAGTCCTAACATCCGTAATTAGTAACGTTTAGCATACACTTTATCGCCAGGCTGTTGCTTAATCACCATCGGCTATAAAAGGCTTTAAGAAATTGTGTTGCCGGCTATAGAAGCTATTGGAAATCTTACAGCCGGCTGTAGGTGTATGGTTTTTTGGAACACAGATTCTTCTGCCAATTTTTACCAGGGATAGAGAGAAAAGATAAGGATTATGTGCGAAAGTTAATTTTTTTTATATAACGCATACATACGAAAGTGTTAAAAGTGAACATTTTTATGTAACTATCATATAAGAAAGGTCATCATTTTCGTGAGCTTTTCGCAAACATACCTCTACACCATCTTCTAATTCGCGGAAAGCTCGCGAAAATGGTGATATATATATAATATAGTTTTTTATATAATAGTTACATAAAAATGTTCACTTTTAACACTTTCGTATGCACGCGTTATATAAAAAAATAAAAAAAATTGTCTATAAAAAAAAATTACCTCACTTATCTAGCTTTTATCATTTTTCATATATTATGGTCAGGTCTGAACTTTGATTTTTTTTTTTTTTAATATAAGCGTTACCTGCACGTTTTTTATATAAAATTACCATTTAGATGACTGATATTTTTTTATACTTTTTCAGAGAAACAAAAATTTGTTCTGCTACTAGGATCCGCGGCTTGCGAAAACTCCATCCGTCCAGCTGCTCTTACCGAGAGCGAAAGAACAGATACACCGGCCGAGGTAGATGTGCCAGACCTGCGTTGCGCAGGCGATGACGGCGAAGCCCAGACCCATGAAGATGTGGATGAAGAGTAGCCCCAACTTCCGCCCGAAAGCGTCTGTTATTGGCCCGATCAGCAATGCCGAGACCGGAGAGAGGAGGATCCCCAAGCTGGCTGTAACACAAGTCATTTGTCATTAAGGTATGCCACTCTTCGCAGGAAAATCAGAGACCATGGTAATCAATTTAATGAATACAGTGATATTTTATGATTATAATAACCCAAGTAGCATTTTTCAATGTAAAAGTTGAAAAATCTTGAAACAATGTTTGTATTAGTTACGACAAAGTTGCAACTTTCGGTCGATAAGTGCCGATTTTCGGCGATCTGAACGGAAGACAAAGTTGCAACCTGCTGACATTGCAAAATTGCTGCACCAAAGTTGTTTAAAATCTTCAGATAGGCAACCAGCAATACTTTGAAGTTGAAACATGTTTGCAACTAGTTCCAACAATGATAGCTCCTTTAGGGGAGAGAGTAGGCAATCTGCACATCAATCTATTAGTTGCAAGAATCAAACGATTTTGTTGCAAGTTGTTGCAACCTCTGCTACTTGGTAGGGAGAGAATGACCCCTGGGCCCCATGTTGGGGCTTAGGACACAAAAATGGCGGAGCTTTGTTTTGATTTTTGATGATGGGAGGGGGAAGGGGTCATTGCCAACGGACGGTTATCACCAACCGCACTTGCTGACAACCTTCCTACATCCAAAATGATTCTTCTCGAAAATTACACGCGATTAGACGTATAACTATGAAAATACGTCGCATTCGAGCATTGATGTGCAAATGAAACTACATTTTGAGTCATTTTTTATTTAAATTTTGGTTTAAATTCCATTCCCATTCGTGAAATGTCATCAATAATCTGTGTTAGGTTCGGTTAAGCAACTAAACTAACTCCTTGGCAAAGCGGAGAGTATCACTCAATTTGAAGGCGTAAAGAAATCTTCACTATATCGATGTTATCGTAATTACAATTTCACGAATTGGCATGTACGGAGCTTGCAAATTGCCAGCGATTGCTGACTCCCTGCGACTTATACACTGATAAAGATTTCAGAGATATTTATTTCCATCTTTAAGTTTACATGTACTTTTCTCTCTTCTAATCAGCATGTGTGTTTCTTTTTTGTTTCTGGTGCATCCCTCGGAATTCTTGGATTAAAAAATGGATGATCTTCCTGGACAACGCAAATCGTCAATTAAAAAATTGGGATCGTTCAATTAAACGGGACACTTGATTCACTTAACTGAATCTTTAAATTAACTGGAAACTCAAATTTACCACAAATCCTACTCAACCGAAAACCTGATCTAACCCTGCTAACCAAAACTTTACTCAACCGGTGATCTTACCCACCGGAAACTCAAATCAATCGACCAATCGTCCGGCCGAATTTTACTTAACCGGAAATCGACAGCCGTAAACTCTGCTCGACCGGAAACGTGCTCCAATCGAAAACTTGACCCAACTGGAAATTCGATCCAACCTGAAATCTGACCCATCCCAAAATTCCAATTCACTGGAACCGTAATCCATCCATGTAAGACGTGACCGGAAATGAACCCAACTGGAAACTGTTTCCAACCGGTAACGTGTCCCTGTCGAAAATTTGACTCGACTGAAAATTTGATTCAATCGGAAATCTGAGCGACCGGAAACCAGAACCAACGGGATTCGTTTTCCACCCGAAATTTCACTTGACCGGAAATCGAAAATCTCAATTTCTACTCGACCGGAACTGTGCCCCAATCGAAAACTTGACTCAACTGGAAATCGACCCGACCGGAAATGTGTTCAAACCCAAAATTTGGTTGTTCTCGGATGGAGAATAACTAATAATAGCAATATATCATTGTGTTTTCTAAAAAATCGCAAAAATTGTATATAAGCGATTGATATATCGACTCGTCAAGGTTAAAAATCGATTTTACAAGAAAAAATACGTAGGTGTCGGTGTACTACAGTCATATTAAGTGCATTTAGTCATCCATTAATCAAAAATGAACAATTTCAATCTCAAAAAATCGTCGATTTTCCGTAAAGAATCTTAAAAAATCGATATAACCGATCGATGTATCGACTCGTCAACATTAAAACTCGATTTTGCATGTAAAGATACGTAGAAACCGGTGTGTATAACATGTGTAAACAACGATAAAAACCCTGTAGACACACATCAATTCAACAAGAAAATAGCGAAAAATAGGGCCGGAGTTTGACCTCTTTGCCCCCCCCCCCCGTAACTCGAAGACGGTTCCATTACTCATCATCTTGAAATTTTTTCCTGAGTTTTCTGTTATCGTAAGCTTCCACTTAAACCTTGGTTTGATGGTCGAATCGAATACCGAAAAATGGGCGAAATTTTGGGAGGCTCTTTCACAAATCCGGCACCACGCAAGGACCTTTATTCATCATATCCTTCATATCCATCATATCCTTCCAACCACATAGAGCATTTTCCGTCAAAATCTCAGTAGCATTTCTGTAGCAACATTTCATGATTGTATCGTGATGAGGGATCAGATCATCTCACGTCTGTGGCGATTCTAGAAAGTTGACAATACTGTTTTTCCTCCATTTAAATGTATGTAAAACAATCGATTCTGGGGGAGACAGCTTATCTCACCTAAAATCGATATTTTTTCGGGATTAAAATAGAGGAAAAACTTTGTTGCCGACTTGCTTAATCGTCACTGACTCAAATTCGAATCATTCGCCTGAAAGCTTACCTATCCACGTTTCTTCCTCTGGCGTGATATGAATTAAACTCTCCTTCTCTTTCAGTTGGGGTAGAAGAACAGCCGACTGGCCTTCGGTCACCCCATTGAAGACAAACGCCATCATTGCACCGCTGCAAGCAAACGCCTGAGGACAAAAAAAGAAAGAATTTTATGAATTTGTTGCCGGCAATTGGACGAAATATCGACGGTGCGAGACTGCAAAAATGCGTACCTCGGTTGTGCCATTTCAAAATCTCCGTTTCTAGGTATTTCACTTTTCAAGAGGAGATCGAGCAAAAAATTCAACATTGCTTGAAATTTTCGTAGAATATGATTCATTACATTGAGAGGAGAAATCACTTAATAAGTTTTCAAGAAATGACGTTTGATAGTTTGCTGTGTAGAATCTACAGTATGCGAGGTCTGCAACGCTGACAACCCAGAAATGCACATTTTTACTGTTTCTCTGTCAGTATATAGGTACTCAGGGGGTACTCTCATGAAAACTATAGTGCTCATGAGAAATCAAGAAGTGTACTTCTCCTCAGTTGATAAAAGGGGAATCTCTCCCAGATTTTTCTGAGACCTGCATCGCTTTTTTTGTATTATTATCAAAGGGCAGATCTACATTGTGTAACACCCGCATAAGAAAATTGTGATGTGACTCAGAACTATTGTTCAAACGGATATTGTTTCAATTTCTCTCTTATCATCTCTTATTGTAATTTTCCACCCAATTTCCATCAATATTTGATTATTTTATAATCCTCACTACCCAAACAAACCTCTTGAACAAGCTGCAAGTTGCTTTTACAGTCCGATGAGAGGACTCTCAAGTATCATGTGAACAGAGACGGACTGGCACTTCACAGAGCACAACCATTACCATGTTTCAGTGACTCTTTGTCTCGTCCTGAGACTTCTTTAAAATTAGGGGTAGGTACACAAGGCCCCTCTCAAATTTTTAGACCTGAACCCTTATTCCAAGACTTAATTGCTATTTTAAAAGCAACCATCTCAATCCTTTTCTTAATAATTTTACACATTGTTAGAGACTGGATACAACCATCTAACATTACTGTAATTTTCGGGATGAAATAGGCGGACAACAATTCGTCTCGGGTAAAAACAGACTTGATCAAAAAAGCGCCTTGAAAAATTGTCGTCTAATTGCCCTTTGCAGTGGAGGATGGGCGTAGAGATTAGCATACCCTCACATTAGGTTGTTTTTTTTTTTTTTTTTTTTTTTTTTTTTTTTTAGTTTTATTCAAGATTTCGCCTACTACAAAAGTAATAAGAAATTTACGATTCGGTGCCATTAGGTGCCAGTAGCACATCATGCTAACTCTTTTACCTTTCTCCAAATACGAGTCGAAATTCCTTTCAGAAGGAACATACTAAATTACTCTCATCCTTACTCAATTACCTACCAAAACCTCTTGAATTTTTGGTGTAGCAGTAGCGGGTTTGTATTTTGGACCTTCTAGATGCAGAAATAAGACAGGAGGGTTGTGACGAGCTTCGTCTTGTAAAATTCTTGGAAAATGTATCTATTGCATTTTTATTTAATACATCCGAACGTTAAAATCATTTAATATTCGCTCCTCCATTAATATTTCTTGATTTTACATGGTAAAACTTTTTGATTAGTTTCGTAAAACAAACTGAATGAACAAAAATAAATGACTAAAATAATGACTATACCTAGAGCATTTGTGCAAATTTTAAAATCCCCCTAAATAGAGATACATATTATTTGCCTTCCTTTGATATCGGTTATCTCTGGATTGATTCATAGCGCTATTTCAGAAAATCGTGAGTGATAACATTTCCTGAAGATAATGAAATGCTCCTATTGTTGTCTTGGTTTTTATGAGTTTGACGAAAATTATCTACCATTATTATTTTACCATTAGGTGGGTTATATACCTACATTCGGTACTTGGAAACTTGACAAACAGGGCTGTTCTCTCTAGGGCTGTGTGTCAGGGCAGGGGTCCCGATATTTTGAAATTAAGTCGCAATTTGTTTAAGATTTTTTGGTGATAAAATCGCTAGGATCGTCAACATCCGAGTGATTTCTCTCGATCTTGTCACAAATTGTTATCTCTATAAAATTGCGGTTGATAAAATCTAAATTTTATCTCAATTGATTTATCATTACATATAATGAACATTTTTGATCAATAATATTGCGATAAGTCGCCGTCGATATAATCGCGATTTTATTGCAAATTCATGTCATGAGATCACAATTTATTGCAACTATCCGATAAAAGCCATTGCAATAAATCGACGTCAATCAAATCGCGATACGTTCTCCGATCAAATCGCAACGTATCACGATCGCTGCTACTTAGGGAGGAGAAGATGAAGGAAAGATGTACAATGAAATAGATTGAAAGAGATGTAGAAAGACATTCTAGGAACTGCGGTTCATGCGTAATTAATTTAAATTAAATTTGAACAATGTACATACAATACCGTTCGTAACCAGCAGCCCCAACTGAGTTTCTCCTCATCTTCATCCTTCCCCATCTTGAAAATACCCGAATCGAATTAAACCACAAATCTGAAAGGAATCAGCACTTCGCCGGCGGAAACCGCCTCCGCAACACTCCCAAAACCGCGCATTCATTTCAAACATAGCTCCTTTCTGCACTGGAGCAACTGCTCAGGAAAAGCGATTGAATCTCAGCGCTGATAACGACTTAACACTCGAGTCAAGTATCCATGCCCGCAGAAATGCGACGACCTATTAATGATCGAGGGACATGAATTCGCTACTTTCATCAATTGAATATTGACCCTTGGTTCAAGTTCAGAACGGGTGGACACTGAGCAGCGTCGAGCAAAACATTGAGTCTAACGATAAAGCGTCTACCAAGAAAAACACGATGGTCGTAAAACTGACTGCACATCACGACAGGGGTTTTTTTTTTAAAAAAAAAGTTTCATTTTTATTAAAATAAAACAATTTTAAAACAAACCCGTTGTAATAGTGATCCATTATTATCGACCACTAGACAGGGTCTGAACTAGAAATTAACATCACATGAAATCCCTTCAAAATCTTCCATAGAAAACGAGGCGTACAACGGGAGTTTCTGAAATCAGCTCCTGAACGAGATATTAGCAAATGTTTTTTCCACAGGTCAAATGGAGATCTGATTGTACAAATGGCGTCATTTGTATTTTCGCCATTTAACAAATGTGAATTGTAAACACTTATATCTTGTAAAGGATTTGATTTTTAGACTTCCCGTTGCGTGATTTGTTGTCGTCGTGAAATTTTTAAGAGAAACCATCTTGCGTAGTGTTGCGTACCTTGTCTAGAGCCCCATCCGGAGTCAATTTTTGGACAGTTTTCAAGAAATTACGTCAGTTCGTTTTCAACGAGAAAAAATAAAATATGACAGGAAATCTGCAACGTCACAAACGGACAGACGTGTTTTCGAATGTTAATCATTGCTAACAGTAAAATAGTAGCGTTCTTTCATGTCAAACATTATGTTGGTCAGGGACGGATTTAGGGGGTGGCCACATGGGCCGCGGCCCATGGCGGCAAATTTTGCCATTGTTTTTAAATGTAGATATAAAATGATTTAGAAAAAAATTACAAACGAGAAAAGGCGAAAAAATATCTCATTTCCTGAGAGTATAGCAATTTCTAATTTTGTCGTCTTTCGGTGATACAAGAGACAGCACCTTTAATTAGTAGGGTTAAGAGAGAAACCAAACACGCAATTTGGCCTGGAGCGCGGTTCGGCGGAGAGAGCATTGATAACGAGGAATTGAGATGAAAAGGAGACTCCCTTGGTACGGCGGTTGGCATGTAACACATATTAGCGCCTACAAGACTCCACGAATACTTCACGCATTGCGTCAAAAACAGTGCGCTCAGCAGCGGTTGGCGTGAAGCGAATATCGCCTACAAGACTGTAGGAATACTTCACGCATTGCGCCAAACACAGAGCAGTCAGCGCGGCGTTTACCTCATTAATGTTTGTTCTTTCATAATTTTTTCGTTTATTTTTTAATGAATGGAAGGAGGGCCTTGCTCACACAGAGATAGGTTTACGGAACTTAACTTTCGCGCACAGTTCCGTGAACTTTTGCTAGTAGTGATGACTGGGTTTTCGCAAAAAATGTGTCCGGCACAAGTAAACGCATCTTATGCAACTCTCCCCCTCGGACACGTTCATTTGATGGTTTTTATTAATGTTTCAAAACGAGTAAGAAAGGGGCGGCAAAATACAGGCGGCCCATGGGCGGCAAGTAGGTAAATCCGTCCCTGATGTTGGTAATCGAATATGCGCTTCAAGTGCATAGTCCCTTCGCTTATTCTGACCACTTCTCCTATAATACTGATGCAGGCAATGTGACACAGTGGTCTTGAGGCAAAACAAACGTGACACAAATGTACCTAAATACGGGTTGCAGGGGGTGAGTCTATGGTACGCGTGGACTTAAAATCACGGAAATGAGTTTAATCTAAACTTAGTTTAATATGGTCCTAATTTAGAGATACCGCAATTTGAAATTTTCATTATAGTAAATGCAAGTTTTGTACTAATTTTGATCTACTTTTTTATTTTTTTGTTCATTGAATTTGTGTAAATCGGTTCACGTTTCTATTTTTCGTTAGATTCATGTCGATCAAATACATACGCTCTCGTTACATGCGCAGACTTCCTATCATACCCTACTTTAACTGAACAATTCGCCTTCTACTACGTCTGCAGCATATGTTGTTACGTATTGTTGTTACGTACTGTTGTTACCAATATGTTGTGCGTAGTGATTTTAGATCATTACATAATTGACCCTCTAAAGGGGCTCTAGCGCGGTCCAGCGGACTCGTGGAGCTTTTCCGACCGGAAAATCGCTCTCAGCGGGTCATTTCCTAGCAGACTAGCTTGCTTTCGGCTCGATCGGAGAACATTCGATTCTGACCCTAAAAATTTAGTCCATGGTACCCCTGTGGATTTTTCTCGATTTCGGCGGGGGAAAAAAAATTCGAGATTAGTGTCGAATCCTACGTAGTTTGAGGCGGAGAATCGATTGCGCCCGGTCGCGAGACTCGCCGGAGCTCCCTGAGCCGAGAAACGGTCAAAAACGAGTGTTTTTGGCCCTGTTGGAAAAGTGCGTTTTTCGTCGGTACCGCGGTCCAGCGGACTCGTGGAGCTTTTCCGACCGGAAAATCGCACTCAGCGGGTCATTTCCTAGCAGACTAGCTTGCTTTCGGCTCGATCGGAGTACATTCGATTCTGACCCTAAAAATTTAGTCCATGGTACCCCTGTGGATTTTTCTCGATTTCGGCGGGGGAAAAAAATTCGAGATTAGTGTCGAATCCTACGTAGTTTGAGGCGTAGAATCGATTGCGCCCGGCTGCGAGACTCGCCGGAGCTCCCTGAGCCGAGAAACGGTCAAAAACGAGTGTTTTTGGCCCTGTTGGAAAAGTGCGTTTTTCGTCGGTACCGCGGTCCAGCCGACTCGTGGAGCTTTTACGACCGGAAAATCGCACTCAGCGGGTCATTTCCTAGCAGACTAGCTTGCTTTCGGCTCGATCGGAGCACTTTCGATGTTAACCCTCGCAAATCATCCTCGTTTACCGCATGAACTTTGAAAAAAGGACAAAATCAACGATTTTTCTTGTTCGTAGGCAGGGGAAAACTGTGGACCATGGGAAATCGACTCGACGCCTCAAGCTTTGTAAGATCATTCGTTTTTTTTTTTGGTAATTCAAGACGTCCAATTTTTGGAAAGTCTGATCTCATACTTTTCAAAAATATGGGACTCTCGGAAATATTAGTAAACACAATTTAATGTTCTGATATAATTGAAAAGTGTTTCATTGCTGGTAATTTTGATGTCTTTGCATGAATTTACAATTTGAATTTTTGCAATAATTGTACAAGGTTGTGAGCTTTGTATTCGAAGGTTTTGTGATGAAAGCGTTGATAGGAAAGTAACTTGCATTTAAATAATGTAGTTCCAATTGATGCAAATTTCGTTTGTCATAAATTTTATAATGAGATTTTGTTGTTCTACACCTGACGATAGGAAACACAGGGTTAAGGCAGACATTAGAAAATGAAATTCCCTGACGCATTAGGATAAAATTCCTCAACATTTGAAGATAAGTAAAGCAGTAAATAAGACTTAATTTGAAATTTTTGCAAGGAGCATTTGTTTTATAAACAACAAACCAATTCTAGAAAACAAATAAAAGCAATAAAACAATTTTTCTCTGACAGGTCACCTTATCTGACACTCTCCAGCAGTTTCCCCAGTATTTCCTGACTATGGCAACCCTTTAATCACCTATCTTTGGCAGGAAAAGATTCGAGGCTCTGAATGCAACTTTCTTGTAAGAATGAAAAAGTCCAAATAATAGGCACGAGCTAGATCTATAAGAGAGGCTGTTCTCTAAAGAAATGAAATGATAAAAGTAAAAAATTCAATGCTGCTCCAGTTACGAGCGATCTACTATGGACTTGACAATGAAATAAGAAGACAAATTTGTATGTATTACACTTAAAATATGTAATTAAAATACATTTTTACACAAAACAAGTATGGTACAGTGTTAATATGAGATAACAAGTTTCATAAAAGAAAATAAAATTACACAAGTGATAACGTACAGAGTTTCATGATTGAAGGATTTGGCGCGACCCGTCTCAGGGGTCACACGAAGACAAATCTATCCTTAAACTTATCAAATATTTTAACATATTGGCATTGATTGATTGATCGGTAAGTTTCAAATTGAAACAGGTTAGATGAAATAAGATGAAATGAAGCACATCAAAATAAAACGATTTTATTCTTCAGTTGTGTTTTTTAACACTGACGATCCTTAAGAATATATAAACAGAGCTTATTGCTGAAATGATTCAAGATTAAAAACCCATGTACTGAAGGACATACTACGGCTGAGAAGAATGAAAACAAAGTTGATAGCCATGATTCATGGGAAAAGACCACGAGGAACTCGAGGGATATTTTGTAGATCAGAAAAGGAACGTAAGTATCTTATCTGCACTGTTTCAATTTTCTTACAAACATTTTACGTTTTTAAGAACTGCTGCACAAATTAGTCTGAAAATTTCCGAGTCTTATCTCATGAGGATACTATAAAATCACAAGAAATTTCAGAAAAATTCATGAGACAGTTTTCCTTTCGACGAAAAAAAATGTGGGTAAGAAATACTGAAAGAGTGCAATCGGGAAACGTTCCTTTGTATAGGGGATGACAGATTGTTGTGAAATATCACTGATCATTATCAAACAAGAGATCAAAAATTAAAATATATACCTATATCTTTCATTAAATGAATAGATACGTGGGGGGGCTATGACACAAACGCATATCGATCAGTTTCTCAAACTGAATTATTTAACAAGCATAAAACTAGGTCTTTTCCACCAAAATGCTGGAGGTCTTAGAGGGTTCCCCCTTTCATAATTTTAAATCCCTCTATTACTAACTCGAAAATTAAGGTCCAGGATGTGCGCTTCAAGATGTATGGAACAAACCTTTAAGTCTCAATTGAGAATTTCAGCAAGCTAAACGCGAGAAATTAAAATGATTAAGGTTATAAATTTAAGCAAAAAATTGTATAACATAATGGAAGAATTTCATAAAACTTTGACAGTGGTACATAGCTTTGTTCACTGGCTGTCTTGAATCTACTGTAATGATAAGAGACAGTACAGTGAAACTTGGTCATAACCTTCTCATAATAAGAGGCTGCTCTTGATTATCGCCTGGAGTTTTCTGTGGCAAATGCATAATGTATTGAAAGAATCTTCTCATGACTGAAACCTGTGGGTAAGAGCCTGCTCCGTTATGACCAGGTGTTACTCCCAACATAATTTTGGCATTCAATTTCTTATAATTTCATTAAGGCCTTAAAAATTGAGTGAGTAATTGAAGCGCTTGTATCGAAAAGGTGCCAACACTGAAAAACATTTTTTTTTTAAAAAAAAATTGTTTCAAGAAAATCCACACAAGAAGCGAAAAGGATTTCTTTCCTGTCCAAATCTCAATTTCAGAAAATGTACGACTTGGCACCCCTTCAAAATAAGCGTTTCAATTCACACCAGTAACTTGGAAAATGTATTTTTTTCTTTGAACTTTGTTCTAAAATTGTCCAGGTTTTTTTCCACACCTCAATCAACAATCAAATCAACCATAAAATTATTCTTTGTGAAAAGTTGTGATAAAACAGCCCAGAATGACAGGAAAAAAAGATAAAAATAGCTTCTACTTTAATTTTAAAGCATAGTTCACGGTAAAAACATAAAAACAACACAGGCAATACTACAGGAAGATTAGAAGTAGAAAAAATCACAAATGATAAGTATGTACACATGTACAATAAACAGACCTACACATGTAGATCCGAATAACCAAGCATTAAGAATACTCCTAAGTATCCAATCTTAAATTCTTTATATACAAAACAACTTCTATGTACACGCAGTCAATGCACAGTGCTTTAAATTAAAAATTTAAGATACCTCTCAACTCTGTCAGCTATTAGTAAATTTTTGCAATATTTAAGCGCTTCATGAGATGCACATATAGCATTATACACAATATATTGTCAAGGCTTTCAACAACAGTTGATAAGGAATTTAAAAAAAAAAAAAAACCCTCATTTCAACATCAAACTAAAGTTAAAGGGTGGATATTTTTTTGTTCAATTCTCCAAAGATGCCAGTGATATATCATCTGAGACTGGAACGGTACATATTTTGATCACTTTGTTAGAAAAAACAATTGAATAAAACGAGAAAATAAAGTATTTTTCTCTTTTTTTTAATCAGTAAGAAACATATGTACTTTGAGTCATTTTCGAATAAAAACTATCAGTGCTTTGTAGCTGAAAGTTAGTAGACTCAATTTTTTTTAACATAACAGAAATCGCACTCACTGTTACTGAAGAACCACTCGAGAAGTTAAAACGATTCTGTGATAGAAAAAAAATGAAATTTATAGATATTAAAAGTTTAAGAAAAATAGATTTTGATACAGTCTGAAACATTTCCGAAATATTGACGAAAAATAGTTTTCAGATTTCAAATAAGAAAAGAGGTTTTGGGTAAAAATGATCAAAATTCAAAAATTGTAAGCGTTATAATGTCATCTACTTAAAGGGTGCAAAAATAAAATTTAACATAATGTTAACAAAGATAAAAACTCTGCATTAATTTGCCAACGATCTGAACAAGGAAATCTGTAAAAACCAAAGTTTTACTCAATTTTTGTGAGTCATTAAAACTGAGAACTACTAGGCAATATCTAAGCTAAGAAATATATCGGATTTCTGCGATTTGATTGTAACTAGGTATAAGATTTCACGTACAAACAGAGGCATGGCAGGATTATAGTATAAAACAGATTGTATTAAGAAACAAATGCTTTGTATGTTACTCTGTTAAAGGGAAGAAAGCCCTGGTGTAATCCTTAGACATAAACACCGAGCATTTCAACTGGAGACGAGCCCACGCTGCTTTGAAATGAGTTAAAGAACTGATGAAAATAGCAAGTCTTCACTGATTGAGAGAATGGCAGCAAACAGAACTATATGGAATGTAAAAATTTCAAAAAACTTCAGTCACGATTGACTGTAGATTCTTGACTGAAAATTGATACTTCAAACTGGCATGACTTTTGTCATAGGTCACATGCTTGGTGGTCGCTTGGTAACTTTCCATGAGTTCTGGCATATTTGAGTTTGTAAGCCGTGGTTGGTGTCTTGTATCATTAAGTTTAAGTAGGGTTAAGGTTTGTGGGACCGATTCGTCTTCAAATTTCAAATTTGTGGGTGGTGATGAAATGATTTTTGCAGAAAAATGTCGAATCAAAGTCGCTACACTTGGGTTGCAACACTCATTTGCAGTCTTAAAGGCCCAATGAAATCTCTTTAATCTCTCATTCTTTTAGATGCTTACGCTCAGTTTTGAAATCTTTGTAACAACCAAATAGAAATGTTTCGAGGTCCAGAAACTATACAAACAAGTATTTGTAAAAAAATTTCATCTAGTTGTATCAAATTGAAGCATAATACTCATCTGCAATCTTACTGGTGGAAATGATTATACATAATTGTAAAATTGTCTTCAACAGAAGATTCAGTGGAGTGGGGTGCTTTGCGATATATCGATTGATCTACCATTTGAAACTATGAAAAAGCATTGATACACAGCGTGTTCCCAACAAACACCTTAACAATCGATTCTTTATCATGGCTTCAAATGAGAAAATATTAATAATCGATCATTCCCGCCTTGCCATTGAGAGGGTTCATGCCGCAAAATAAACGCGTAATCTTTACCAGAATTCAGAGGTGTGATTTTTACATATTAAAAAATTGATTAGTCCGTAAAAAATAAAAACATCGATTGACTTAAAGAGTTTTTTACATAAATTTGATGAAGTAAACTTGATTGGTAAAACAATGCATAAAACAATTCCGACTAAAGTATATCACTGATATGAAAGACATCAATGCATCCACCATCGCTTTATCTCCTTTCTTCATTTTATAGAAGAAGGGAAAAGGCACTCTTTGTAATATACGCACTCCCAAAAAGTTTATAAAAGAGATACAAAATGTGAGAAATATCATCAACAAAGGTTAAGAAGTTGCTGGGAACATCAACAAAAGAGAGAAAATGATGAGAAGAGAGATGGGAACTATTATTGAAGGCTGTGAATTGGCTTGAGAGACCTACCGAGAGATTGCCCTGAAGTACCTAACAAATCTGCAGCGTGAAAAGTCTTCTCCCTGTTCTAGACAATTCATAAAAACAATCGAATTTCATTTTTTTTGGCTGGATAAATTATATTGCAGACAATTAGGTATAGCAATTTATAAAAATTAGAGCTATTACGTCTTGTGATGATAATTTTACTGCCAATTCATTTATAAGTAATCTTGAAATTAATTTGAAAAATATGAAGGAAGGATTTGTAAATGTACGAGTACATCTTGAAACTTACATTAAGGAATTTGAGGGGTGGATCTATCTTAAAAATTTAGCTTTTAAGATACCAGGATTATCATTCTAATCGCTGTAGATTTAAATTAATGTACGAAGTACATTTAGGAATAGTTATGGCAGAACTATTCATTTTAATATTCAAAAAGAATGGAAAAAGTAATATTGGAAAATAATAACTTCAAAATTAGTATCAAATGCGAGAAAAAAAACCGAAATGAGGTTGCAAGAAGATGTGCTTTCAACCATTCACTGAACTTCCTATTAAGAAAAATTTATTTTTCTGACTATCATAATATATCATTTGAACAGATAAAGAGCAAGCCACTCCTTAAAACACTGTAGCTTAAAGCAAAGCAAGGTTTTTTACATGATATGGTGCTTGGCACAATAATTTGTTGAAAAACTCAGAAGAAAAAAGAGACGGACAGACTGGCAAGTGGCTCAATGTATGCAGATGGTCAGACTCATTGCCGAATGAGATACCACAGTGCAGTAATAAGCTGATTTGTGATGTTTCTAGAGAGGAACTTCCAGAAACTGAAACACAAAGGAATTTCACTTGAGAATTGGTTACTCGATACAAGATTTCTTCATGGCTAGCTGTGCTCTTCGCTCCCATTCCTCCGCTCTTTGCTGAATACGTTTGAATCCTGATGTTTCAGACTCATCTCCTGTGTTGTTGTTGTCGCTTTCATTCATAAACAAATTGTTGGAGGTATTCTTTTGGACTTGGAGGTCCGGTAGAGTCTTGCTTCGTTGTCGTTTTTCAAAGATATTGTTATTGATATTGTTCTCGCTCTGGTTCGACAACAACAAAATGGTATTCGACAAATCATCGGCATTGTGACTCAAACTTCGATGATATTTCGCAGGGTTATACGTATTTAGGAGCGTGGGTTTTGTCAAGTTGACATTAGAGATAAAGTTAAAGACTGGTTTTGTAGGCTCATTATCGAGGTCAGACTTGATTGGCTCTTTGAATTTCCTATCCTCTGGTGGAGAGTCCATTTCTTCGTTCTCTTTGTCGCTGTCTCGCGACTTGGCACCAGATTCTCTTGAGTCAGATATCACTGCCTCGACGATATCAGAATCTTTGATTTTCAGCGACCGCCGGGCAAAAACTTTGAGTAATTCTGGTTCATCATCTTTACTCGACCGCAAATCCTTCACATCCGATTTCCGTCGCAAAACAACTGTTGTGCAACCCTCTGGTTTTAAGCAACTATGCTCTTGTCTCTCAGCTTTCAATTCCTGTTTTTCTACTTTAGGTTTGTTGTCCGTTTTTGAATTGCTTGTTTCTGACTTAATAAGTGGTCTTCTTTCATTACAAACGATGATAGAATCATCCATATTCTCCGTGCTAGTAGACCTGGGGGGCCTCTCGCAGAACTTCAAACTATCTTCATCGACGTTACTATGAGATCTCAAAATGACTTTGATGGAGGATGATAAAACTGGCTTGTTACTCTGATCCAACGGTTTTCTGTCAACATTTGAGTTCACTTCGGTGGTGTGTCTGATCGAGGATACAACTGGTTTGGAGAGGTTGATGTCTGGCTTTTCGTCCTCATTTGGATCAATCACTGAGCCACCAGTCCTTTTAATGGTTGGTTTGCTGGAAGATTCATCCGAGAAAACCCTTTCTTCTTTTTGATTAGCTGTCACTTCAGTTGTAAGTTTCACAGTTGGCAGAGCTGGTTTGTTTCCTGTAGACTCACATAAGACTTTCTCCTGATTCGTTGTCACTTCACTAGAATGGGAAACGCTCATTTTGTTGTTGGTAGTATTGACAGACGACCACTGTCTAGTATTAATCGTGAATTTATGCGGGGCATAACTCAGAGGTGACTTGGGAGCAACATTTGGTTTATGTATGGCTTCTTTTATGATGGGCTTGTCCCCTGGCTTTTCCTCCACCATTTCTCGCTTTTCAGACTGAGGTTTCGGATATTCACAATTCATGGCTTTTTCTTGCATTGCTTGATTCCCATTTGAATCAATGTTATCTCCAGGTTTGGAAGTTTCCGCCAGTTGCTCTGATTTATCTACATTCATCACTTCCGGTTTTTTGGCTACAATGCCATCGCTTTTGGCAATCTCAAGTTTATTCATCTTGAGCTTTTCTGGGCTATCTGCTTTTTCAGGTGACGTTGAAAGTATAACGTGTGAGCTTGCTTTGTTTTCAATGCGGTTTAGCTGAATTTTCATGAACTCCGGAACTGTGCTTTCTGGGTCTTTCTTAAGGATTGAAGTTCTTGGTGCTGGAATGGGCGGTAACACTGGTTCTGGTACTTTTGAACTGCGAGATATTGTATCTATGCTTCTGGGACTTATTTGTGGCATTTCTTCGAGGAACTTCTGAGAATCCTCTGGAGATAAATCAGTGGGAGTTTTAGGTGACTTTGGTAAGTAGCTAGACAGGGATTTTGGAGACTTGGACAGATAGTCTGGCGATTTAGACAGGTAATCCGAGGACTTTGAATGATAATCCGGCGATTTAGACAGATAATCCGGAGACTTCGGATGAAAGTCTGGTGACTTAGACAAATAATCTGGAGACTTTGAGTGAAAGTCAGGTGATTTAGACTGGTAATCTGGAGACTTTGAATGATAGTCCTGCGAGACAACATCAGGAATAATGATATTAGCGCAATTTTTGATTTTCGTGGCATTGTAAAATTCTTTTTCTGATTTGATAGTCTCTGGAGACTCAGAGAGGATCACAGTCGAAATCTGATTATGACTAGATATGGCATCCAAACTTTCAAAATTTGAGGATGAAATTTTGATACTTTTGCCATCATTAGTGTCTTTGATCTCTGGTGAGACGACTATTTTCTGCGGCTCTGATGTTACTTCAGAGGCCTCGCTTGAACTGGACAACAGAGAGTCATCTGTCTCCCTATTCAGTAAAATAGTTGGAACCATTTCTTCTGTGATGCTCACATTCCTTACTCCAAGTTTATTCTCAACAGCATCCGATGCATCGCCACAATCAGAGTCGTCTTTAGCAGAATTAACATGGACCGGCAAGCTGAGGGAGTCGGAATTGTTGTACTGATTGACACCCCTGAAACTAAAAGATTTCTTGACTGGTCGCAGTACATCTGGTAAGTCCTGAATAGGTTTCGTATGCACAACCTCGATTTTATCTGCAGGAACAGCATGTACCACAACACCACCCTCCAGATCAGACAGCGTCGGAGGAAAGTGTGGGTACGAGATGTGCATTCTCGATACTATTGGGTTGCAGTCTGACGGAATATTGATTGGATCCACTCGCTGACGAGCTGCAGGGTAGTGCTTCACTGAAATATTGCTGATCTCATGCACATAGCGGCCTTTCTCGTCCATCCGCTTTGGTGGCACTACTGTCATCAATGAATCGTCCACAGACTTCTTCTTCTTACCACTACGACGTGACAGGAGACGACCAAAGAATGAGTTAGAATCGTCCTTTTTCTGCGGCTGAGAGTCCTCATCCTCTTCGAAAATATCGCCACTGCTGAGATATGCTGCATTAGAGCGACTGCGCGTTAGCTTGATGCGAGAACTGACTGGAGATAACCCTGAGGGCAGGGATGCTGACTTTATTCGAGTGTCATTTGAGGGTTCGGTGGGATTGGCATGTGCAGTGGTGCTCACTGAAACCAAACAAAAAAACGTGATGAGTGCAAAAAAACTCACTTCAAGAAAGATAGAGCATAGAGATGAAAAAGCAAGAATAAGTAAGGTTTTTCATGCATTGCTGATTCACTGATCTTTGTGAATTTGGAACTTTAGTGGGATACACTTCTACTCAAATGAACTCTCAGTCTGGGATTCTCGCATATTCACGGATGAAAAAAGCTGATCCAAAATTGCGATACGTAAGGTGACAAGCAAAAAATGGGAGGGAGAGTGTCAGAATCTGAAGTTGTTCTTCCATAATAATGTAGAAAATGTACCAACTCTCTAATTCAGGAGTCACATAGAGCTGCTCACCCACATATAATAAGTGAGATCTTCATGATAGATCCCATACTCCTGTTTAAAGATTTAGGTGCTTATTCCTAGTCTGTCGTACATGAAGCATATATATTGAAGTAGTACAGCGCAGGTGAGAAAAATGCAAAAAGAGGACTTTAACAAAATGGGAAACGCAGTATAACCTAGCTTGTCTTTAGAAATAACTTTTTTTAAATAAAAAATCATTCCCATATTTTAAACAACTTGCCTCTGCTGGATAAAAATAAATGAATCTTACACTCAGAGTACCTTGTGTCAGAGATAGTTTGACTAACCAAACTCGAGGACCTATTACGTCTATAAAAGCCAAAATCAGACGTTAATATTGAACAATCGATTGATTTAATTCATGAGAATTCAAATATTGATTTGCCTCAAGGCCAATCTCATTGAAACGACACTAAGGTGGAGCTTCGAAACAGCTGTGAAGCATATGGACGATGAGTTTACGCAATTTCTGAACACGCCGCCTCATTCACTGAGTTATGAGTCAATTATCTAGTTAAATATTGTAGTTCCTCTTGTCATAATAGCGCCTCTAGCAAGGCTGAGTGCCTCCGCGTCCAGCTCAAACTCCAGAGGTCGAGGTTTGATCCCTCGCCTGGAAGAATTTCTTTAATGGTTTTCTTTTATGATTTATTTGACTGAAAAAGTATGGGCAACTATATTACTTGCTTCTGCCACTGAGAGAAGCGCCCTCCAACGCAATTGCGTTGAAACGTCCTGTTTTTCTTTCTATGCTCCTAATTTTGTTCATACGTTTTTAAGATGGCTATTGTAGCATACTCTTTAACAAAATTCCTAACCAAAAGACGCTCCTACATTTGATCATGACCATTCATGGTCTCCATGACTATCAGTGCTCATCATTTCAGTACCTGATTCCACCATTCCTCCTGATCAGTTTCATTTGCTCAGCATCTGGAGAATTCATCTCTAGTTTGACAGAGCCATTAGCTGTATTCATGATCTTAAACTGATACCTTTCCAGCTTATGCAGATCAGAATAATCAGGGAAAGGTAGGGGTCGTAGCCTAAACTCAGCATCAGTATTCCTATCTCCTTGAACAAACACACTGTCCACAACTTTCGACTTTTTTCTGTTTGAATGTGAGTAATTATTTGGTCTCATATCAAAATTACTTTTTTCGAGTGTCATAGCTTTGAGAGGACTAGCTCGGTCTTTAGTTGGAACTCGTAAGGAACCAACAGTCGGGGATTTGTTTGTGAAGTTATAAACTACTTGCGGAATATCCGAGTAAGATTTATGTTTCAGCAATGACTGATTTTGATTTAAATAAATCTCTGAAAACTCATTCACAACTCTCCTCCTCAAATCAAAACTATCGATATGTTTATGGAAGTCTTTGTCAGAGTTTTTGGACAAGTTTATTTCAGACTGTGAGTTTTTCAGTGGCACAAAACCTTTTGGCTTATTGCTGATCTTTTCAAACTTGGAGATTATTTTTTTCAGTTCGAGAGTAGACTTGTTGACCTCTTCTTGACTGTAATTCGGGAGTTTGCTCAAAATCATTTTATTGAAATGATGGGTGTCGTAAAAAGTTTTTTTGTCCGCCTTGTTTTTGTAGTTCAGCATCTGAACATAGCTTCTGACACTCCCAATATTGGAGTTGATTAGCCTCTGGGGAGGCGGTTCGAAGGATTCAGCAAAATTCCGCTGGTCAGAATCGTGAGCTGATGGTTCAAAATGCGATGAATCATAAGCTGGATATATACCTGAGTCACTAGCTTGTGACGAAAGGCTTCGACTGCTGATATCTTCATTTAATTCTGGGGTTGAGGGAAGAATGGATCCGACCGTCAACTGCAAATGAGAACACAGGGAAAGATTATAAAAAACTGTCCGAGAGTGAAATCTGAATGGGTATAATAAATTTAAATCAAACAGAGACAATTTACATGAGCCATATAAACGAAACTTAGAAAAGTAAGATAGACATGAATCAAATGAATTGAGTTGAGTAGGAAGGAATCAAGCCACATCAGCTATTGCCAAAAACTGGGCACTTGAACTTTTCACAAGAGAGCGTTTGTGCATATTCCTTTGAAATTTTTAAAGAGTTCGCTTTGTGCTATGCAGAAAATTCACTGAAATTTGTATAAAAGCTGCATAAACGTTTACACATAAAAAATTGAATTGTCCAGTTAAAATTGGCAATAGCTGATGAGTCTTGGTTCCTTGCTGCTTGATTGAGTCCAAATGAAGGGAGGGAAGTGATTTCTAAGTGAGATTCATTTTTACATGTATATTTGAAAATCGAATTAAATATGTATATAACGTACAGAAGTGATAAATGAACTCAAACATTGTTTCTTTGCATTGAATCTTATGGAAAAACTTTAATTCTGCATACATCAGTTTGAGTCTTATTTAATTTCTTCTTTTTAATTTATTTTACGATTTGAACTAATCATATCCAATACTTCTGGAGAAACAGGTTCAGTTCAGTCACATCAGAGTTTACGTTAAGAGCTGCATTTGTGTATAGTTACCGGCTTGTTTCTTCGTGGTGCGCCATGAGTTCGTTTTGGTTTGATTGCCATTTTGTGTCGTGCAGCACTGTGACTTAACTGGTTTGATGTCACGCTTTCATTTAAATCCACGCCGGTATCTAAAAAAAGAAAATTGGGACGTACAGTATCGGCACATTATGAAGTCAACTATATTGCAGCAAAGAAGACGATAGGTATCACCTCGCTAACACTTTTTGCAACTAATTCCACAGAATAAAATATTGCTGTGTTCCATTCCATAGTATAAAATTGTGAAATGAGGATTAGTCTTCTTAACATGAAATCCTATATTTTCTTCATGAATGACCCATCTCCAAATCTTCCTGGAATTTTGGCCTAGTTTGAAAGTTTTTTTCTTCAAAATTAGAGATTATTTTTTCTAGAATTCTGATCAGACTGTCAATACTAATTTGAAATGCACTGTTATTCTAAGAATGCCGATAGGTGAGCCTACTGAGCATAGAAGTTATCAAGGTATTATTTTCAGCAGTTTTGCTGAATATTTATGGAAACTGAGGGTTTTAGATTATTCACTTTAAAAATGATAAAAATCGGCTATATTGAGTACCTACAAGAGATGAAGCTACGTTTGAGTAAGTTAACTTGACTTAGATTCTCCCATTTCCCCTTTTTTCATGGTTTCTGTTTCCAATTTCTTGTCTAAGGCCGATAATAACTGCCAAGACTTAATTTTGTGACCTATCTAAGGCACTTATTACCAGAATTCCAAATTATGTGATTGAATAAAAAACTGTTCCTAAAAATTCACCTGCCCGAAGAGAGTGTAAGAACAAACTGTGAATTTTATGAGAGGAGATTAAATGGATTGCGCTTTGCAAAAAGCAACCAAAAGCAATCCAATATCGCTAAGATTGTGCAACTTTTTTTACCTTGCAAATATAAATTAAACATCTAAACATGTTTATCGTGTTTTATCTTTACTCCCAATAAACTATGAATTCAATGCAAAAATTACCTCTGTACATTTCATGTTCAGCATGATTTCAGTCATTTTCAGCTAAGAGGGTAAGTTGCACAATGCCAGCAACATCGGAATGCTATTGCTTCCTTTTTGCAAAATGCAATCCAAATGCTTTGTTTGCTGGATGAAAAAAAATCGGAAAGAAGAGGAAAAGAAAAAAGCCTTCATCCAAGCCAATATTTAAAGCTGGATATTCGGAGTGCAGGGCTTCCATAACTCCATTTTCCTATTCCCTGACTTTTTTTGCTTTTCTATGACCCCAAAAGTTATTAATTCCCTGACTTTCCCTGGCCTTTGAACAAAACCTCAATTTATATTTTTCCCCTTTCTGATTATGCTGACTTCTGCTAAACGATGTTCGCAAAATTCCCTCCTTCTTTCATGAGCTCCCTGACTTTTCGTTCAGATTTTCCAAACCGCTGGAAACTCTGGGAGTGGCACGCAGTGGCTTCTGATTAGGTACTCATTGAAACCCAAATGACCAAACACATGTGAAAAAACAAAATCATACCTGAATCTTGATTTAAACTTTTCCTATCATACAGAGATAATTTTGATGAGTTTCTTGAGCTGTGACCATAAAAATCCTGTAAAAGTAAAAGGAGCATAAGATTAGTTATATTCATAACTGAGTGCTTTCTAGAAATGGCCTTTAAATGTAGCGGCACAGAAAATAGGGTAATCTTAGATTATGTGATTAGATTGCGCGATGATTGCTTCCTACATCACTTCTTCTAATTGCCTTGTAAAAACAAGGACAATACTCTTCATGAACTTTTCCTTGAGATACCCTCCTTTCATCACAAAACCTAGTTGCTTGACACAAAACGAAAGAATAATGGGTAAATCAGAGATATCGTTATGATATCTCTTTTCACACATTGAGTCAATCAACGACATCCATTTCCCTAATTTTTCTTATAATACTAGAAGATTCCGCCCACTAATTGCTCCGCGGTCCAACCGAACCCTGTGATGCGCTTTTCACAGGTTAAGCGTTACTCCCTGGTAAAACTTGACGATAGGAGCTGCGTTTCAAAATACCATAGCAGTTCTTATAGCCGACTGAAGAAGGCGATAGAAAATCATATAGCTGGCTGTAGAATGCGGAGAAAATCATACGGCCGGGCTATACGAAGCGATAAAAAATTAGACAGCCGGGCTATAGTTCCTATCGCCGGGCTTTACACTTTATCGCCTGGCTGTCACTTTTTCGCCATCGATTAGAAAGGTTATACGAAATTGTGTAGAAATTCGTAAGCTTTGGAAATCATTGAGTTTGATACGGAACCACCTTAATATTTACAAAACACACGTTATATTTTCCTTTAATGCATATTTTTTTCATCAATTAAAATGAGAATAATCCATACAGAGTGTGCAAACATTTCAAAATCATGAGTTGAATAACGCTGACTCCGCCGGATTAAATATTAGAGCCTAACACAAAGCGGAGCGGCGACGCACTGGCGCCTACAAACCTAACAGGGATACTTCACGCATTGCGCAACGCGTGAAGTATCCCCGTTAGGTTTGTAGGCGCCAATGCGTGTTTCGCGCTGGCTGCCCGCCTGCCACAGCGCACTATGGTCCACAGACTGGATTTAACGGAACTTTATTCGAAAATGCACTGCACCGTTATAAAAGGTGTTGGATCTTATGTTTTTTGGGTCGCTGATTTCATTTTACATTTTAGTTTAACAAAATATTAACATCCTGACCGAGAAACTTAACCTCAAATGTGATTTCTGGCGCTTTTAAGACTGAAGATTTTTTCCACCCTATTTTGACATGTATAAAAATAATAACAAAAGTGTCTCTCTGTTGAGCTCAGACCATTATCATTTATTTTTAGGCGGTAAATCCGAATATGACCTCCGTTTTGGTCCATCACCCTTAAATTTTCCGGAAAAGCCGATTTTACCCGGAAAAATGGACATTTTTGGTGTTTTTGCGACTGTTGACCTCTGCAACATGTAGGTAAAATTTTTTCCAGGTACTAAATAATACTAGTTCGATGTACTTTGATCTACTGAGTCCGAAAATGACCTTTGTTTTTTCTTATCACCTCTCTTTTTTCCGAAAAAGCGACTTTTTCCCGGGAAAATGAGCAATTTTGACGTATTTTTGTCATAATTGCAATTCATGTTGATAAATTATACTGGACCCGTGGTAAAGCGATTCTGTCATGTATATTAAGCTGCTAAATCCGAATGTGACATAGGTTTTGGTTTATCACCCTCCAGTTCTCCGATAATGCCGATTTTTCCACGCCTTTTCAGTAAAACCTTTCCCGGACTCTTGTGTTAAAAATACGGTTTAAAATTGATTTCTATGTTTGATATATCGATTCTTATGTATTTTGACTTGCTAAACCCAAATATGACCTTAGATTTTTCCTATCACCCCTCATTATCCCGGAAAATTCAATTTTCCTCGGAGAACGAGCTTTTTCGGTATTTTTGCGCCAATTTTCCTACTCTATGGAGTTGTAGCGATTTTCCAAGTTCCTCTTTAGGTCTTCCCTGACGTCTTAAGAAACATTCAACCGGAGTTCGACCTCAAATTGCCTCTTAAAACCCCCCGTTTTCCTCAGAATACGGAAAATCGTCGCAAAAATACCAAAAAAGCTCGTTCTCCGAGGAAAATTGAATTTTCCGGGATAATGAGGGGTGATAGGAAAAATCTAAGGTCATATTCGGGTTTAGCAAGTCAAAATACATAAGAATCGATATATAAAACATCAAAATCAATTTTAAACCGTATTTTTAACACACTTAGAGTCCGGGAAAGGTTTTACCCATAAGGCTCGGAAAAATCGGCATTATCGGAGAACTGGAGGGTGATAAACCAAAACCTATGTCATATTCGGATTTAGCAGCTTAATATACATGACAGAATCTCTTTATCACGGGTCCAGTATAATTTATCAACATGAATTGCAATTATGACAAAAATACGTCAAAATTGCTTATTTTCCCGGGAAAAGTTGCTTTTTCGGAAAAATGAGAGGTGATAAGATTAAACAAAGGTCATTTTTGGACTCAGTAGATCAAAATACATCGGAATACTTTTATTTTGTACCTAGAAAAAATTTAACAGTCGCAAAAACGCCAAAAATGCATGGAATATTCCACATTTTCATGTACGGAGGTGCACTCCGAAAAAAATTAATTTCGACCGTTAGGCGCAAAAAGGCGCAATTTAAATTGGCATTATTTTAAAGTCAAAGATATGTTGAACAAGATTTTTCAATCCGCAAAGCATTAACTAGAATTAAAAAAAAGTTAGAGCTTCCTAAAAATTACGAATTTCACTGATTTCTAGCATTTTTTGGCGTATGTTTGGAGCGTTCAAAAGCATACAAATTTCAGTTCAAAATTAATGAAACGGGGTGAAAAGGAAGTCACTTGCCATCAGGTGGATCCATGTTGCCCAAAAATGTACATAGATGAGGCGTAACTCGCTAAAATAAACACCCTGTAACGCACCACCGAATGCGGCTCACAATCAGCTAATGAAGACCTACCGCGCGCTCTGTTGTTAGGGTCCGTCACAATCTTATAAATCATTATTAGTCGATGAAAACTTAGGTGACGATCCATGAGAGTATGTATGATAAAACTGTAGTGCCAAACTTTAATTTTTTCCACCCTCAAAATTTGACTAAAGTTCCGTTAAATAGGGTCTGTGGACCATAGTGCAGCGCTTGAAGCAACTATTTCACACCAGAGGTATTGCAGAGTATCATGCGAAACTGAAGGCGCTCAAATATATTAGTAATGGCAGGCATCCATCAAAAGTACGGAGCTTTCCTCGCAAAATAAATCAAGATACTGGGGCCAAAAAAAGAGAGCAGTATTCCAAAAACTCACTAAGTCCTAGCATTCGTAATTAGTGACGTTTAGCACACACTTTATCGCCTGGCTGTTGCTTGATCGCCATCGGCTATAAAAGGCTATAAGAAATTGTGTAGCCGGCTATAGAAGCTATTGGAAATCTTACAGCCGGCTGTAGGTCTATGGTATTTTGGAACACAGATTCTGCTGTCAATTTTTACCAGGGGGTCTTATGACTTTATGTTATAGAGTGAGATTCAGTAAATCTTCACAAATTTGATGTCATATCTACTACTTAGTATTAACGCTCCTACACATGATAGGTACTTTAAAGAGTTGAAAATTGATGGTTGTCTCGTTATTGAAGGAATAGTGCCATTACTTACGTCGTCCATCTCAGAAGAGCCCATGCTGAGTAGAGAGCCGTCGCTGCAGGTGCTGTGCGGGGACTTAGTTATTCTCACATCCTGTAAACCAAAGAAACAAAAACATAGGTTAACCAGAGGTCTGTACGCTATACGAACAATACAGTAGAACAATAACCAATCAACAGTAAGTACATTTCTCTCGTGGTAATAAGTGGACTTACTGTTGTTTGTGTGAAATTACTTCAATTTTTGCGCACGTGAGTACATACGCTATTTTTAATAGAACAATAACCGATCAGCAGTAAGTACCTCTCTCGCGGGAATAAGTGGATTTACTGTCATTTTGTGTGAAATGACTTCAATTTTTGCACACGTGAGTACATGGAGACCAAAAGTTCGGTTCATACTGAACACCGAATTTCTTGTCCAGGGGAACAGTAGTTTTAGGTCACGGACACTGAATTCAGGTTCAACTAACTAGAATTCGGTTCCTATGACCAAAAAATTTGGTTGCCCATGCCGAAAAATTTTGGTGCACTGGAAAAAAAAACACATTGGATCTAGAGTCTAGACTCTTGAAAACATTGACAAGAAAAAGGACTCTTGATTCAATCAGATGTTTGCTCAAATCAAAAGGAAATCCGCTCAAATTAAGAGGCTTGGTTCTTGATTTAAGCTTAAATCTGATTGAATCAAGAGTATTTTTTCTTGTCGATGTTTTTAAGAGTCTGGACTCTAGATCCAATGTGGTTTTTTTCCAGTGTGTTTAATATGATCCAATTTTCTCTTTGTCTCCTTTGTCCATCGTTTAGTCTATCAATTTCAGTAATCAGCCTGCAGTGGTGAAGACGGACGACACGTCTCGAGACGGCATCTCGTGTGCAGACGTTGCAGAGTGAAGTGCGCGACGGTGTTCGCATTCACGTGCACGTTCGTCGTGTAGTCATCGTTGTCGGCGAACAGTGGGTCGATTCGAGAATTGTTCAACTTAAACTTTAAATTGAATCAGTGAGTTCGAAAACACACCAACTCGGGTTTTTTTTTTATTTTCACTTTTTTACGGTTTAGTAACACTTACAGAGGCATCTGCACGCAAAAGGAAATTTCGAAATTGCAATCGGAAGTGCTGGAAACAGCGACGGGAAAAGGGAAAAATCGAAGTATTTCAATGGAAATTCCAATTTTTGGCCATTTCAAGGGAAATGGGTGACCATCCGATTTTGCGGTTTTCTTTTTTCGGTTCAGTAGACCTCATATTAACAAGTTATATAAATTTCAAGCGTTATTCAGGTCGAAAAATATAAATTTTTCAGGGCAGACTATGAAAAATCAGTATCTGAGAGTCGGTAAGAACGAAAACACACCAACTCGGAAATTTTTAAACTCTTAATTCTCTGTCATTAAACATGGTGTATCGATTTCAACTTGGTGCTTTACAAAGTCTCCAAGTACTTATCCTTTAGCACGAAAAGGTTTTTCTTAAACTAACTTCTTGGCCCGCTACGCAGTTTTAGGTGTTTCCCGAACAATTTTTTCCCCCGAGTTGGTGTGTTTTCGAAGTCACTGATTCAATTACACGGAGAAAAAAACCTCGTGCGTGGGACCCGAAGTTTAGGTCATATGAATCTCTGAAGTTTTCAGATTGAGCATCTGAACACTTAAGGTCTAGCTGTCGAGGTTCAGATCACACATCTGAAACTTCAGTTCTTACATCTGAAGTACTTCGGTTTTCACATCCGAAAAACTTCGGTTCTCACATCTGAAGTACTTCAGATGTAAGAACTGAAGTTCCAGATGTCAGACCTGAACTTCGGCTGCTAGACCTTAAGTGTTCAGATGCTCAATCCGAAAACTTCAGAGATCCATATGACCTAAACTTCGGGTCCCACGCACGAAGTTTTTTTCTCCGTGTATGATGTGTATTTCGTCAAATTTTAAATTACACGGGATGATTCTAGAAGAAACTTTCACTAGAATACCAACGGAACCACTTTCAAAACTTAGACGTTTTGCATTAACAGGGTAAAGAGCTCTTAAAGTTTCGGAATTTTGTCCGAGTTCTCTGGTTGACTTGCTCCACCGTGCGGCGGCTGGACCGGTGCAAGAGCGAGCGCGCGCGATGCACTCGCGACTGGCGGTGTCGCCGAGATCTGCATGACAGGAGGCGGGTGGCGGGAGTCGCGGGTAGGTAACCCGTGCGAAATGAAAGTCGCATCAACGGCGGGACAATCATCGCCCAGGTCCCCGGTTGCCAAACCCACCCAGCCGAAATCCCGCGAATATATATCGTGAAAATATGAGACAAAAAAGGTTAAGAGTGGTTCCATTGGGTTTTTCATAAAATTTCCTTCCAGAAACACCCCTTGAAATTGAATGTTTGACACAATAAACCCACCGAGCCAAAATCCCGCGATTATATATCTCGAAAATATGAGACGAAAAAGTTTAAGAGTGGTTCCATTAGGTTTTTCATAAAATTTCCTTCCAGAAACACCCCTTGAAATTGAATTTGTGACACAATTGACATTTTTACTAGTACGCGAGTGAAATTGAATTTTTGACACAATAAACCCACCGAGCCAAAGTCCCGCGATTATATACCGCGAAAATATGAGACGAAAAAGTTTAAGAGTGGTTCCATTGAGTTTTTCATAAAATTTCCTTCCAGGAACACCCCTTGAAATTGAATTTTTGACACAATAAACCCACCGAGCCGAAATCCCGCGATTATATATCGCGAAAATATGAGACGAAAAAGTTTAAGAGTGGTTCCATTGGGTTTTTCATAAAATTTCCTTCCAGAAACACCCCTTGAAATTGAATTTGTGACACAATTGACATTTTTAATAGTACGCGAGTGAAATTGAATTTTTGACACAATAAACCCACCGAGCCGAGATCCCGCGATTATATATCGCGAAAATATGAGACGAAAAAGTTTAAGAGTGGTTCCATTGGGGTTTTCATAAAATTTCCTTCCAGAAACACCCCTTGAAATTGAATTTGTGACACAATTGACATTTTTAATAGTACGCGAGTGAAATTGAATTTTTGACACAATAAACCCACCGAGCCGAAATCCCGCGATTATATATCGCGAAAATATGAGACGAAAAAGTTTAAGAGTGGTTCCATTGGGTTTTTCATAAAATTTCCTTCCAGAAACACCCCTTGAAATTGAATTTTTGACACAATAAACCCACCGAGCCAAAATCCCGTGATTATATATCTCGAAAATATGACACGAAACACTTTAAGAGTGGTTCCATTGAGTTTTTCATAAAATTTCCTTCCAGAAACACCCATTGAAATTGAATTTGTGACACAATTGACATTAAAATTTACTAGTACGCGAGTGAAATTTCAAAATTTAGAAAAAATCCGAGTCAAAGTGTGTGACCGTCTACGGAAGAAGGGACCCAGAAGCCGAATTTTGTGGAGGAAAACGGGCGTACTGATATACTGATATACAGGCATAGGCCGATCCAAGGTTGGGGAGAAGGCGTACGCCTCCCCCTAATTGGCCCCAGAAAATGGAGGAAGAAACAGGGAAGAAAAAAAGAAGGAGGCAGGACGCTTATTTTCAGTAATTATTCATGACGAAATTGACTCAAACTGCATAATAGATGTTTTGAAATTACTCAAATTTTCTGGGGCAGGCCCCCCGTATCCCTCTTCAGCCCCCTCGAAGTGTCCGGCGCCGTCTATGAATACAGGATGATCCGAGTTTGAACAGCTAGATCGCGAAAGCGTGTTCTACGGGTCAAAATAAGACTTTTACCGTCTAGGAAATTGTTTCTAGAAGTGCTTTTGAGGGGGGCTTCAGACCCCCCAGAATTAGGAGAAATAAACAATTCTTCACTGCAAAAAAAATTCCGGCCGTGGAAGCCGTACTTATGGGCTCTATAGACATACGGTCCGTGTTCCGGGCTCAGAGGCCGAAAGTTCAGGGCGTAGCACCCGGAGCAATCGACACTACGGCTCCAGCACCCGGAACTTTCGGCCTCTGGGCCCGGAACGGACGGTATGGGTATGTTTATACAGCCTGTGTAACTTCTTTTTCAGTGTTCCTGCATTTTGGCAAAGGTAATGCACCAAATCTTCTGAAATGTAAAATGCACCCTTAATTTGATATGCTGAATTTGTTAGTGGCGTTATAAAAATCGGAATCTCAGTTGAAAACACGACAATTGCATCTGTTCTGTTCATAATGGCGATAAGAAGGAGGTTCCTGCGCGATTATGAGCGGTCGCCGGTTGACAACGCCCGTATTACAAGTGTCGAGATGAGATGTGCAGGTAGGAAAGGCGGCATTCCGAAGTTTAGTCTCGCTTGCTCCATGCTCCAGATGAAAGGGCCGCCAGGAGAAACGTCCGCCCACAATTTTCACATCCCGACGCCAGTGCCACGCCATGAGCGACGGGTAAAAGTTGCTCGCTTGCGTCGCCTGTCATCGTCGTTCCTTCAAATTTTCCCTTTCTCAGGCCCGTGACATGTGGTTTGCACCGTGAGCGAATCGTCGAGAACGCTCAAAAAGAACGGAATACCATTTTGAAAAAGAAAGAAAAAAGTAAAAACCTTTATACCTAAATGGACCACATTTTGCAAAGAGGAACCACTATTCCTAGCTCATTTTAGAAACAACATATCATCGTCGTGTCCCGGATGAAGGAACGTAACACCACTCCGAGGTTGCAAAAGAGACTCAAAAAGATTTACTATTCGCAAGGATGTACGCGTACAGTTTTTGCCCAAAATTTGTCTGATTTTTACCTGAAATCGGAGGAAAAATCAGTAGTATTTTCAAATTCCCGAGATTCTCCTTGTAAAAATTCAATTAGCGAGGGGAAATTTGGCAACATCGAAAATGTAGTTACGTTTTTTAGTTAGGGAAACGACGGTATATGCCATTGATTTCCCTATGCAGAAAGGTGCTTTCATGGAAGAGCCATGGAGATAGTGGTTCCTTATTGCAAAAAATCCAAATTTTATTTGCAGAAAACAGCGCGCACAGCTTAAAATGCAGGGAGACACCCGATGACCGCATCATCTTCTCAGAGAACTTTGTTCCACGAGAGTTACGACGGTGGAATTAATGA